TGGAAGTTAGTTGGAAAACTTTCTCTTTCAGTCGTGAAAACATTACTGAGCAGTTAAAATCTTCGTTTCTGGGCTTAAACGTCGGCAAATAGCTGAGTAAACTCGGCGCTGAGTGAGAGGAGGGTTTAGTTTGTCCGAGACAGCGGAGCTGCAGACACCGGTAGCAGACGCTGGAAAACACACAAAGGAGGGGGCGCTCCGCGCTAACGCCGCAAAGCATCATGGGAGTTGTAGTCTTTGCTGTAAAATCGGCCACCGGGTCAGTTTTAATATATTTTTGATATTTTTCTCGCGGGCCACAGAAAAATTCTCCGCAGGCCAGATGTGGCCCGCGGGCCTTGTGTCTGACACATGTGATCTAAAGGGTCAGGAACCCTTCGTGGGTGTTTTGGATCAATGAGCTGATTAGAGTAGATTCAGATAACTGAACTGTTCATTCTAGATAGTCAGAACCATTTAGTCAAAACAATCTTTGACCTAATAGATCTTATAGAACGCAACTTCATTATAGAACATAAAAGTAACGTTACAGTTACTTTGCTAGGCGAATAAGTACTTTTAGAATGCGGAAACTTAGTTACTAACTCTCTTACTTTTGGGAAAAAGTAATTTGTAACTATAACTAATTACTTTTTGAATGTAAGATGCCCAACACTGATTATATGTTATGAAGCCACTAATATTTTTCAACAACTGGGCGTCATTTAATTCACGTTCACAACGTTTTGATGGATATTCCAGAGATTAACGGTAAAAACTACACATTGTCTCATTAAGGTCCTTGGTTTTGAATCACACTCCACTTTATTTTACTTTTTAAGAATTTTTCAGCCTTCTCGGCTGTCTTGTGACCTCCGTTGTTTCATTTGTTGCCCCTCATCCTTGGGAGGGGGTCGTAACTCCCAGGTGGAGGATTACCGCTCTGTGGGAGGAAAAAATACGTATTGATTTAGATTGATGTAGTAAAACATTTTGATGTATTTCTGTTTTACACCTCCTCTTGGAAACAAAGTTTATTGCTACGCAGTCTAAATAATAAAAATTCTGGAAGTGAGCGCTCTGTGGAAACCCAGGATGCTCAGTGATGTGCTCATGAGGGCTGATCCCAGAGCTGTGGCTAAGCCTCCCTTCCCTACTTCTAGTGAGAACGCTGTCGCTCCTTCTCCCCCGTGCACAGCCGCTGCTCAGGACAGACTCTGGCTTCAAATCTCCTTAAGAGGTTATGTGATGTTAAAAGCAGAGCCAGTCAGCACATTTCTGTAAATCTTCTTCCCTTTAACCCTTCGGTCAGCTTTAAGCTTCCCTCTCTTCCCCACTTTTCCATATTTTTGAGTCTTTGTGGTTGAGTTTCAGTCCCAGAAGCACTCAGAGGTGAGAATCCTCCTCCTGGGATGTGCAAAAGAAGGCTCTGGAGCTAGCGAGGACATTTTAGAGGATCTGCAGCAGTAAGAGCTCCGTCTAAAGGGCCGGTGAAGGTGTGTGAGATCACATTTTAGCCTCTGCTTCCCTTGGCCAAATGAACAACAAAATTTGTAGAAAATTGTCTGTTTTCAGTTTAGAAAAAGAAAAGCAAAGCAGCTGGTTCTGTTTTCTAAATTATGCTGTGATGTTTTTATAGTGTATTTTCAGCCAGACGGAGCTGCTGTTAATGAATCCAGACTGTTTTCCCACCTCTGGGGAACAGACAGAGGGGAGGGATGATGCACATGAGAGGAGAGGGAGAAGAATGGGAGGAGAGAAAGGAGGAAAGTTTACAGGTCGTTTTTGTTCAGGAGGAATGAAAGAAAAAGGAAAGAAGTTTGGGTGGAGTGTGGATTCCACCTCTTATTTTCCTAATTTCTTAGTATTTTTTTCATGGCTTAATCGGTGAATGAGTGTTTTTGAGCACATGGAGTCGATTAACGAGAGAAATCTGTGTTAAAATCGGGGAAGACCTTTGGGAATCTGATCTCAGATTCCTTCAAACCTCAGAAAGGCTGCTGGAAGGAATTTTAAATTCTCCCTCTCTAGCCATCTTCTCTTATCGCCACTCTTTTCCTTTCTCTCCCCGGTGTTGCATTCATTTGTCAGCTCTCCTTTGGTTGCCCTTTCGCTCAGACCAGAGATATTTGAAAACGTTCCACTTCCCTCCCACTTCAGCTTGTCAGGCCCCTCAGAAAAATGTGTCGGTTTTCTGACCACAGAGGGCTCCTCCAGCTCCGTTTTATTGGTTCCTAACTCTTGAGCACTTTTATTCAGACGCTCATGAAGAGAAATGTGCTCCATCATTTTCTGCACCGACGCCTTTCTTTCCTGGTTAGAGAAACAGACTCTCTGGTCTCCAGTAAATCAGAAATCTGGAAAACAAAGCCCTCGTTTGACCATTAGCCGTGCGGTCTGCTAGAAAACTGACGGTGCTACAGTAACCCTGCACATGGGGCGTTTGTGTGAGTTTGGGAAGCGCGCGGTGGAAAGCTGAGCTCGCAGCAGCTGTGAAAATACAAATCCTGTGGTTTGGGAAGCCCTCCTCTCCACGTTCTTCTTGGATTTTCTCTCAAGGTCACATTCTATGCAGAAGTAATTTTATTTAATCCCCTTATTCTGTCATTAAATGTAATAAAAATGCACAAAGAATACGAGATTCTCCACAGACAGACTCCCATTTATGTTTTTCCCCAGGTTTGCATTCATCTCTTTGCTTAATGGTGACAACAAAAGGATAAAGATCAGTAAAATGTTTTCTTAAAAGTTTTCCCACCGGTTTCTCCCTGTCAGTTTTTCAAAGGACTCGTAAAACATTTTCCAACCAGCTTTTTATTTTTCTCAGCAGTTGGAGGTTAAAGCAATAAAATGTATTTTGTGGAATTAACAAAATTCCCATTTTTGCTCCTCAGACATAAATCAGACCAATGAAAAAGGCAATATTTTAGTTATCTCAGCATTTTTTTAAAATCTGTAATCGATTTGATTTGTTTTGCTGTTTTCAGTTACTAAACTATTGCAGAAATGCTCCCCAGTGGCTTGCATTAGTCAGGTTGTCAACACGCCTGGTGCCTGATGTCAGTCAAAAACATGCAGAAACATACTTGAGCAGGTTTGTAAAGATGTGAATTCTTTCTGAATTGGGGCGACGGTGGCACAGGAGTTAAGTGCTCGCCTCGCAACCGGAAGGTCGCCGGTTCGAGACCCGCTCAGTCTGTCGCTGTCGTTGTGTCCTTGGGCAAGACACTTAACCCACATTGCTTGCTGGTGGTGGTCGGAGGGACCGGTGGCGCCAGTGCTCGGCAGCCTCGCCTCTGTCAGTGCGCCCCAGGGCAGCTGTGGCTACATTGTAGCTCATCCCCACCAGTGTGTGAATGTGTGTGTGAATGGGTGAATGACTGATTGTGTTGTAAAGCGCCTTGGGGGGTTCCAGGACTCTAGAAGGCGCTATATCAAATACAGGCCATTTACCATTTACCATAATCATCACTCTGAGTTTTTCATGCAGGCTGAACATGAAAATAGTCTCCTACAACTATCTCCTGCATTAGCTTCTGATAGAAACAGACGGTGAAACTCTAGGATTAGAAAAGCCTGACAGATCTATGTCACACTGTCACTTATCATTCATTGTCTCACCCATCTTCACTCACAACGGGGAAGGCTGTTGTTTTAGCATCCAGGAAACAGCAGAACATAACGGATAGTAGAAGCTAACCAATAGCATTAGCAACTCCACCACACAGCAGAACTCCTCCAGGCTTGTGCTAGTTGCAGAGATAAAACATCAGTGGTAGAGTTGCGTTGCTCTTAGCCATTCAGAGGAGAGATGTCCAAATATCAGGAAATAAGACTCAGCTGTGATGCAACTCACTTCCAGTTCGTGGAACTTGTGCACCAGAGCACCCCCCACCCCCCCAAGTACGACTTATGGGCTCAACACACGAAGGGTGACAAACGAAACTTTTCGCTGTTGCTGTGAAAACCTGACACACGGGAGGCGAAATCCAGCAACGTGCTCGGTTCCCGAGCAAATAGCAAGTCTTGCGTTGTTTCGATCGGCTGCCAGATTGGAGGGAATGTTTAGTTATTAAAGCAGTTCAGAGCTGAAATGGCGGAAAATATGAAGTCTCACAAGGTTTCGCTAGAGTTAAGTGAAGTCTTACTTCTGACTTTATTATGTAAATAAAGAAAAATACACGAATGGGTTCATCCCATTTTACAAACAAAAAGAGAAACAGTGACTATGAGATGTACTGAGACGCACCAATGAACCCTCTACTGATTTGTCCTTGTCCCGAGCAACAGCGATGAAAAGATGAAATTTTCAGCTTTCTGGGACTGCGTCACTGGGTCTCCTGTGCACGACAAATTCACACGCACGTTTTTTGCATATCACTTAACAAGAGGGAGAGCCTCGATTATTGCTTAGTCGCCTCCCGTGTGTTAAGCCCATCTCAAGGCATCCCTTCCTACTAGAAACCACTGCAAATGTACTGATTAAATGCATTTCACACCTTTAAACTCATGAAGGGCAGATTTATTTGAGAGTAAAAGTATAATTTTTTGATATTTTAGGACTACACATGCTCAACCACGTCTCTAGTCTTTTTCTTTTTATTCCTCTGATTGTTTTTAATTTATTTGAACCACTTGTGTGTTTTAGTAAAGGAACCAACCACAGAGACAGGCTCTCCTTGTAGCCTCTTCTCTCACATCCTTCCACTTTGACAGACACCGTTATTTTATGCAGGACTTTGTTACGCTTTTACTGTCCCATAAAGTTTTAGTGTTGTGCAGATGTGGAATGGGTGCAGGTCATACAACGTTTTTAAAAGACAGATACCCAAAACACCGGACAGCTTTTGTGAATATGCACAAGAAAAGTGACGTATCCCAGGGTGCATTGCTGCATTTATTTGTTTTAAAGTGAAATCTGTTACTCGCATGCACAGTAACATCTCTCTAAGTACACTCAAGGCATTGCCTCATCCTGCCTGTCTTCTTTCATCCTCTTGACTCTTTTTGTTCCCTTCCAGATGTGGAGCAGATGGCCATCGACTGGCTCACAGGAAACTTCTACTTTGTGGACGATGTGGACGACAGGATCTTCGTGTGTGACAGGAACGGGCAGACGTGTGTCACGCTGCTGGACCAGGAGCTGTACAACCCTAAAGGCATCGCTCTGGACCCCACCATGGGGTTAGTCAGACCCTTAAACGCACCGTGCAAACAGGCACAAATGATGCCTTCAAGCCCATTTTCGCAGGCAGGGAAGCTTTTTATTACGTAGACTCAGTCCCGCAGAGGTGACAAGACTTCTGCTGTCTGTCAAGGACAACTTTAATGGAAAAAAAGGGGAAGGAAGCTAACTGGAGGCCAACTGGGTGCCTGGAAGTTTGGAGTAATTGAGCACAGATGTTTGTTTTTGCACTATAGTAGTCTGAATGTGTTGTTTTATGTTGTAAGTGTGTTTGCATTTCAGCTGCTCTGTTTATAACTCCAGCTGCATTCCTGCACGTTTGTGTATATCTGCACATATTTACTAAGCTGGATGAGTACGTGTGTGTGTGTGTGTGTGTGTGTGTGTGTGTGTGTGTGTGTGTGTGTGTGTGTGTGTGTGTGTGTGTGTGTGTAGGAGGGCTTTCATCCCATTTTTCAGCCCGATGTTTCCTTGTCAAGAGAGATCCGCTGCTTTTATTTTTCTGATGTTTAGAGAAATTAGAGGGAAGGAAAATAACAATAACACAAACACAACATGTTTTATGTGTTCTCACTAAATCAAGACCAACAGAAATCCACTTCAAATCAAACCCAGATCTCCGTCTCGTTAGTGGTTGTTTATTTGTTTCTGAATTAAAGGGTTTTTATGATATTTAGTTTGCAGCAAGAAGCTCGGTTATCGAGTTTCTAGGTTACATAACGTTTGTTGTTTAGCAACACGTTTTCTGGGACTGTGAGGATGACTCGGGCTAAAATTAAGTTACAGTTATTCACCAGGACAGTGGGGAAATGTTTCCTTAGAATGAAAGTAACTTTCAGAAAATAAAGAATACTAAATTAGAGGTTTTGAGTGTTTTGCTGGTGGATCTACTCTGATGGTCGACTGGTGGCTCCTGGGACATTTATGGCTGGGCCAGTTATATCATGTGTAGCATCAACGCATTCTCACACCCTAAGCGTGGGAAAATGATGAGGTGTGACCAAACGTTTGTTACCGAAGCGTAGGGAGCCCCTGCACGTCGGGAGGCGACGCGCTGTGCCAGAGCGTCGAAATCCGATGCTCGTGGTAAAATGGAGATTTCACCGAATTGTGACCTTTACCCTCTTGCTATTTAACCTTCCCTTCTCCCCCATCCTAACCTTAACCCTGTATGTCAGTCCAAAATTTCCGTTAAGCGTGTTTTAGAGGAACGATGAGACGTGAAACAAAGCTTTGCATGCGCAAGCTGGTTACTCTACCACTGACTCTGTTTGCTCTGCAACACTGATGTTTTATCTCCACAAATAACTCAAACCTGAAGGAGTTCTGCTGTGTGGTAGACTTGCTAATGCTAGTGGTTAGCTTCTAGTAGCTGAGATTTTTTCAGCTGTTTCCTGGACGCATCCCCATCATGAGTCAAGATGGGTGAGTCCATGAATGTTTAGTGGCATTGTGACGTAGATCTGCCAGGTTTTTCTAATCCTAGAGTTTCACTGTCTATTTTCTATCAGAAGCTAATGCAGGAGATTGGTGTAGGAGACTATTTTCAAGTTCAACCTGCACGAAAAACTCAGATTGTCCAATTATAATCAGAAATATTAGTTAAAAATTGTTTTTCAGTGTTCCGCACCTTTAAAGAAACAAAGATCCAAAGTTTTAGCCCCACTTTTAGACGTTCTTTCAAAGTTCTTGCATATTGGGACTAAACGCAGATGTTACTCTCAGAAGGCTGCTCCTACTGAGCCAGGATCTGCTGGAGGTGTCTTCCTGTTAAAGGAGAGTTTTCCTCTCCACTGTCGCTACATGCTTTCTAAGTATTTATTGCTGTAAATCTCTGACACAACAAGTCAGTGACTCGATGCAATCTGCTGGGTTTTCAGGAGACTTAGCTAACGGGAATAGTGACTTGAACTAGTGTCTATGAAGCTTTGACTTTTAGCCCAGATTTCTCAGCAGTCTAGATGTTGCTTTGATGCCTTTTCAAAAATGTCCACTGGGGTTGAAACAAGCTGCTGAAACCAGATGGATCAACATTTTCATTCTCAATATTGCTATTTTTTTCAGATTTGTCCTTTTTGTGCGGCAAAGTCTGCCAGGCTATTGTGGATTTTTTAAATGACCCCTGAGTAATCCTCACAACTCAAATATATTTAAGAATTCTGAGACGGTTTCTGTTTCATGAATAAAAAGCTTCAATGTTGCCTGTTTATAGTGAAAGTAGGCGTGAAGACGTGTGAACGTTTGCAGGTTTAGTTCTTCTACTCATCCATCTTTACTCAGGCCCTTGTTCATGTCCCTGCAGGAAGGTCTTCTTCACCGATTATGGTCAGATCCCAAAGGTGGAGCGCTGCGACATGAACGGCCAGAACCGGACCAAACTAGTCGACAGCAAGATCGTTTTCCCACACGGCATCACGCTGGACCTGGTCAGCAGACTGGTGTACTGGGCCGACGCTTATCTGGACTACATCGAGGTGGTGGACTATGAGGGCAAGAACCGGCACACCATCATCCAAGGCCTGCTGGTGAGAAACACCTTTGTGTGCTGTAGATTATGCCCCTTTAGAGCTCCTCGTGTACCTGTAATACATCTGATGTTACCCCTGTGTGCTCCTGGAGTTATGGGCGGTGAGAGAACGGTGGACATTTGCCTTTTCATTAAATAAGCTGATAAATGGTGTGTAATGCGGAGGCTGTTAATGTAGCTGCACCGGTGATGCGCCGTGGCTCTGAAACCTGTTACCATGGCGTTTACCGAGATCTGTAGGGAAGAAACGGCTTTCTTTCACTCACTGAGTCAAAGGATACACATCATTTGTGTGTGTGTGTGTGTGTGTGTGTGTGTGTGTTTATGCTTTTATTCCATTCACAGCTCTCATTTCCTGACTCAAAAATCCATAGCTGTTCACCTGTACACGTGTGTTTCTTAAGGCTTGTTTCAGCTCTTAAATGTTAAATTCAGCATACTTTAATTGTGTCAAATGTACATTTAGCTTTAGTTTGTTAGATCTAAGAACTGCTGATCACATCCATGATGATAAACGGCGTCCAGTTTCTAAACCAGACCAACAAACTGGTTCATCTGTTGAGTTTCACACTGATCTGCTGCCAAAACCTTCCAGAGACTTTGAGCCTCTCTTCCTTTTATTCAATAATTCGGTCCTATCAGACCTGTGAAAGCTCTTCTCTCTCTCCCGTCACAAAAAGGTATGAATTTGCAACAAAGCTGCAGAAAACGACAGTTCCTGTTCTTCAGATTGTGTGTCAGGACAGCTCACCCGCTTCTAATAAACGCGTTCACCACTGCTTTACTTTGTGCATGTGGTTTAGGTAACCATGTCAACAGTACTTGTCTTTTATGCTACATCATCAGTGAAAGTGAAGAACATGAAGTTTTAAGACTTTTATTCATTTTCAGTTGATAGCTTTTGCAGGATTTAATCCACAAAGGAAAGATGATGAAACATATAAAAGTTTCAGAGAGCAAACGTGTGCAAGCAATCAATACAAAACACAAACTGCTGTAGAGAAGGAAACCCCATCCAGATGCGTGGCAACACACCTTTATATCTCTTTCAGATCGAGCATCTGTATGGGCTGACTGTGTTTGAAAACTACCTGTACGCCACCAACTCAGACAACGCCAACATGCAGCCTAAAACCAGCGTGATCCGGGTCAACCGCTTCAACAGCACAGACTACCAGGTCGTCACCAGGGTGGACAAAGGAGGAGCGCTGCACGTTTATCACCAGAGACGACAGCCTCCAGGTGAACATGCACTCACGTGTTTTCATCTGAAGTGGGAGATAATCGCCTTGCTGCTGTGGAGGGTTGATTTTCCTTCTTCTTGGTTTCCAGTGCGTAGCCACGCGTGTGAGGAGGACCAGTTTGGGAAGCCTGGAGGCTGCTCGGACATCTGTCTCCTAGGTAACGGACACAAAACCCGGACATGCCGCTGTCGCTCCGGATTTAGCCTGGGCAGTGATGGCAAGTCCTGCAAAAGTGAGTAGGACAACTTTTGTGTTATTTAGTAATTGTCTAGAGTCAAGGATTAATACAGACCTTAAAAACACAATTTGAATAAACTATAAAGAGATAAGAAGGAATCTGTCTGCTATTGTGGTAAGCTGTGAGAGTAATTAGCTTCTGTAGCTAACATATAAGTCTTTATTTCTTTACTCTCTACATGGCTGTTTGTTAGCTTAGAGCCAACCCCTGCTGCTGCTAGAGCCACAAAATCTCGTTTATACTTCCTACAGATCACTTAGAGGCTGAATATGGAACAATTTAATAAAAAGCTACATTTTTTTTAAAAGTTATACCTCCACAGAGCGTTTAGAGGTGTGCAGACTGAAGGTACAGTATTTGCTTTAAAAGTAAAATTTTAATTAAAAGATAATGAAACATTTGTTTTGCCGGGCACAACGCCGGGTTTATGTTTACATCTACCAGCCAATAGAGGGCACCGTTGCAGGCTGCCAGACAGTCCGCTCGGCACAGTGGAAAATGGCGGACTCGGCGAGTCAAGCAGCTGCTTCTGAGCGCAGAAGACGACAGAAATCCATAAAACTACTTCAACTTACCAAGGCTTCTTTTAAATGGAGAAATGTATGTTTTAGAACATTTATCAAGCAGGTGTTTTTCAGGAGTACATAAATGTTTAAAGTTTATTATTCAGCAGCACCGGGCTGCCCCCAGATGTGCCTGGCTTTAAATCGGCTCTACTAAAGAGGTGCAACGGCCAGTGCCGATTTATAAAAACAAGGAAAATATTGGCTTAACGTATTGGTGTCAGGTTCTCATCACACTAAACACGCTCCACCTGGACGTGATCAGCTTCCTGCTCCATCATTGAACAATTACCACCACCAACCAGTCAGATAGCTGCCTCACTCACCACTCCAACTCTCAGTCATCATCTTGCCAAGACCAGAGCTCCTGACTCGTGTTTCACGTCTATGTGTTTGCTTCCAGTCTTCTCCCTACTCCGATCTTCACGTTCTTCTCCTTTGCCAACAATTCCCACTTCCACTCCTTTGCCTCCTCGCACATTCCAGGCTCGTCTCAGACAAAGCCTGCCTCCGACTGCGTGTGGATCGCTCATAAAACCCCCGATCCCTGACTCGCCGAACCAGCGAGACTGAAAATGACCCGATCCACGAATCGGTCCATCAAGTATTCTGTTCTAGTTAAAAACATTTGTAATGCAAATGTCAGCTCAGATAGATGCGTGTGGAGGATGTGAGCTGGTGCTGACAAAGGAGTCACATGTTTGAATGCCATGCCGGCTTGGACACGGATACCTCCACGTTAATTCAGCCACAAGCCAGAACCGGTGGTCACGTGTTTAAAGTTGGGAGCAGCAACCTTCTTGACCCGAGACCAAGAAGAGTAAAGATGTGAGCACGTCTCTCGTGGGTTTTAAAGTGGAGAAGAGCTTTGAACCGAGGGTCTCCATAACCCTGGGATCTGAAAGCTTTCATCCTGATTCAGCTCGTTCTGAAACATGTTTTTCCTCTTTTATGTTCCTTTAACAACACCGTATCGATCTTCCTGCTGAGAACGTCAGAGATAGTTTAACTCCCTCCCTCATTGTCTCAATTAAAACGTCTCCCTTTTTGTCGAGGTTGCATTTATATGATCCATGCATATTTGAGGGGAAGAGAGGCTTCAGCTAATGAGTCAGCACCTAATCATTAGATCCAGGATCAAGTGAAGATGTGCCTGAGAAAACTAAGTGTTGTTCTCTCGCTGCAGAACCCGAGCACGAGCTCTTCCTGGTTTACGGAAAAGGTCGCCCGGGTGTCATCAGGGGCATGGACATGAACGCCAAAGTACCGGACGAGTACATGATCCCCATCGAGAATCTAATGAACCCCAGAGCTCTTGATTTTCACTCCGAGAGCGAGTTCATTTATTTCGCCGACGCCACCAGCCATTTCATTGGGCGACAGAAGATTGATGGAACAGAGAGGGACACCATTCTGAAGGAAGGTAAAGCAGCGGCGGAGTGTCAGAGAGAGAAACTGTGCTTATGAAACAAAACATTTTAACTTGTAAACAGTCGCAGAGTACATGAAACAAGGAGGATGCTTTAATCTGACAGCAAAGACTTGTCTAAAGGCATGTATAATCTGTGGGTGGGTGGGGTTCTCTCAGGGATTCACACAGTCGAGGGCATCGCTGTGGACTGGATGGCCAACAACTTGTACTGGACCGACGACGGACCAAAGAAAACCATCAGCGTGGCTCGGCTGGAAAAGGCCTCGCAGACCCGCAAAACCCTCATCGAAGGCAAGATGACTCATCCTCGCGCAATCGTGGTGGATCCTCTTCATGGGTAAGGCTGGACAGAGAGATGAGGTGGGCGGGATGGAGTTTGGTGTTTTGTTCTGCTGAAAAGAAAAAAATCAATCCGCAGCTGCAGTCATTTTATCTCATCATCGGTTCGACCCGTGAAAATAATTCATGGTGTGTCACGCTCCAATCTGCCAAACCTTCTCTGTTTTATTGCTTTTTCTGCATGTTTTTCTTACTTTTTTTGTTTTTTTAATGTCTCAAATTTCCCTTCATCATTTTCCAATCTAAACATTTTTGCCACATTTTGTTCTTGTTAAGGCAACATTTCCTCCACACGCGCAACCTTATGTGTCTATTACAGCTTCATCTAGCTGTGGATGGATGTGTCTTATTGAAAAGACCTCCCTGGCTCTCCTGTGAGGAACATCTGAACACACACACACACAAACACACACACTTTGGTTTGCTTGTGACAGCATGATGTGTGTCCACACACTTCCCTGGAGAAAGGCGCTCGCTTCTGCTAATGCTTGTAATCAATCACGCTCAGAGAGAGAAGTAAAGAGACGGAGGAGGTTTGGACGAGAAGGAGACCATAAAATGAAATGTTAATGGCGGTATCAGCTATATTCCCATGAGGAGGAGTGTTTCTAGATCTGTATAATTGAAATCTGCCCGTGTTCACGGGCGTTACACAGATCAGTGGTTTGATTGACAATCCTTAAATGACTGTGTGATAAACAATGGTCTGCCTCTGGCCCGGCTGCTCTGAGGAGGGTTGGGGGCTTTGGGGCAGAAACATAAAAAGGTCAAACCTTTCATTAATGCTAACAGATTCTTTTAAAAGCCTGAAAAAAGTCTGTTTCATTCAATACCCCCCACTCGTCATGACAAAGGCCCTGTTGCTTCTTCAGGTGGATGTACTGGACGGATTGGGAGGAGGACCCTAAGGAGAGCAAGAGAGGGAAAATCGAGCGGGCTTGGATGGACGGCTCCAACAGAAATGTCTTCCTGACCAGCAAGACTGTCCTTTGGCCAAACGGCCTCAGTCTGGACATTCCTCAAGGCATCCTCTACTGGGTGGATGCTTACTACGACCGAATCGAGATGGTGTACCTCAACAGCTCCGGCCGCAAGGTCAGCCCCCTCGCTCATAGGATTGGTTCAGCTCCTCCAGCTCAGTCCCACCAAACCTCAGAGAGGGTTTGGGAAGCTGCAAGAATGAAGACTGGGTGTGATCCTAAAATTCCTGAAGATTTGGAATAATGGATACTTGAGTTTAATGCTAGATTTAACATCTTGGTTTTAACACACACCCTCACTATACCACCTAGTGATTTTCTACCATCTGCTTTATTAGTCTGAGCCTTCTCCTGCTTTGACACTTGTTCTGTAAAAATGGCCGTAAACTATAGTAGAATTGGTGGATTTTGGCCCGAATATGTGAAGGCTCTGTAACGAACTGTTTGTTTGTGATATTTTGTGCCTCAGGGGGAAAAACAACCCTGTATAGCTTCCTCTTGTAAAATATATATTGTGCCATCTGGCTGCTTCCTCTGACATCACCAGACGGTGTACGAGGGTCAGGAGCTGAACCACGCCTTCGGCTTGTGCCACTATAAACACTTCTTGTTCTGGAACGAGTACCGCAGCGGCAGCATTTACAAGCTGGACACCACCACCGCCACCGCCACCCTGCTGCGCAACGAGCGGCCGCCCATCTTTGAAATCCGGATGTATGACGCGCAGCAGCAGCAAGGTTCTGGGCAAGACGTCCCGTAGACGGTCTATGTGTAATCCAAGAGTTAGAAGGGCAACTCCTCACACGTGCGTGTCTTTCACCTCCAGGGTCTAATGCGTGTCGCCTTTCCAACGGTGGCTGCAGCAGTCTGTGTCTGGCCACACCAGCAGGTAGCCAGTGCGCCTGTGCAGAGGACCAGATACTAGACCCGACTGACAACACCAGCTGCAAAGGTAAACGACAGGAAGGATCTGGGTTGGGACGACTTACACATTCATATAACTGAGCTCTTCTTTAAAACCCTTAATTTCTTCCCTTTGAAAGATTTCCAAATGACACCCTGCTCCTGTTGACACAGTTCTCCTCATCTTCTCCTTCACAGCCAACCCGTCTTACGTACCCCCTCCTCAGTGCCAGCAGGGAGACTTTGCTTGTAAGAACAGCCGCTGCATCCAGGAGCGCTGGAAGTGCGACGGAGACAACGACTGTCTGGACAACAGCGATGAAGCTCCCGAGCTTTGCCGTGAGTTCCTGGACGTGTTCAGACACCAAACCCAAGCCCTTCCGTTGAGACCAACACACCTGAATCTGATCTGAGATCTGCTCGAAGTACATCAGGACACGCAGTGTGTAGCTGTGTGGTTGTGTCTGTCTGTAGATCTGGAGCTTTTGGGTCTAGACTCAACAAAACTCCCTCACATCTCTCCACCATCACTCCTCATCTTCTGTTCCTATTTGTCCCGATGACCTTTAACCTCCTGAGACCCAAACTTGTACTTGGTGTGATTTAAAAGAAAAAAACACATCTGGCTATTACAGATTAGCTGACTCTCATTAATGGAAACAAAATTACTCAAATTAAAATAAAATGGGGAAAAAATTAAATAAACATGTTGGCAATTTTCCTTAAAAAATGAGGGAAAACAAAAAAAGTTCACATTTTGAGTCAAGGTCAAGTGTTTTTAAATGATAACAAAAGGGTCTAAGTGGAAGAGAATGTAATCTCGTAGTGCAAGGAGACAATGTCCACATATGTGCACACAGGGCCCTAGGAGGTTAAATGCATCCTTTCTTCTCTGCAGACCAGCACACCTGCCCCACAGACAGATTCAAGTGTAAGAACCACCGCTGCATCCCTCTGCGCTGGCTGTGCGACGGGGACAACGACTGTGGGGATGGTGAGGATGAATCTAACACCACCTGCTCAGGTACGTAAACCCCCCCCCCCACACACACACACACACACACACACACACACACACACAAACCTGGTGGAACACCATTCCATCGTGTTGTGTTTTCAGCTCGCACCTGCCCGCCCAATCAGTACTCCTGCACTAGCGGGCGCTGCATCCCCATTCCCTGGACGTGCGACCTGGACGACGACTGTGGCGATCGATCGGATGAACCTGCCTCCTGCGGTTGGTTCATGTAAATGTCTGTCGAGGTTCCTCTAACATGCATATTCAGCAGTACGACTAAACCCCTCCTGTGTTTGCAGCCTACCCCACCTGTTTCCCCCTCACACAGTTCACCTGCAACAACGGGCGCTGCATCAACATTAACTGGCGCTGTGATAACGGTTAGTCTGTTGTCCGCGTCTCCATCCTGTCCATGTTTTATGTCTCTTTACCGTGCATGATGGACAAACAAGCTTTTATTTGTATGTTTGTTTTTGTTGTCATCTTGTGCATTTTTATGTTTATGCATTTGTGGTTCAGTGTTGTGCTCTTTGCCCACTGTGCTGTCTTCCGTTGGTTCTGTCTTTCAGAAAAGGATTGTGAGGACGACTCTGATGAGTTGAATTGTCCAAAGCCGACCGGTTAGTGCATAGATCAACATGCACCACTACAGCTAAAGCTTTAGGACTCACCAGAGGGACTCAGAGATAGTCAGCGCTGCTTTTCTAACAGACTGACCTCCAGAGCTGAGGTCTTTTGGACCTCCATGGAGGTCTAAACTGCTGCCTTTTCGCACAAATTTGATCAACGAAACAATCAAACTTGTGTGCAATATTAAAATGTATTTTTCTCTGTGATTTTTATCAGAATAGATTATTTTTCCTGTGACTTTCAAACAATAAAGTTAAAAGCACTGATGTTTGGCTGCCTTTCTGAGATGACTTTGTACAAAAATGCCAAAGATGCTCTGCTGCAAAGTTCAATGTATCAGCTGGGTACATTTCCTCATGGTGCATGTTCTGATCTATGCAGTTTCTGTCATCATTTATGCTCTCATCTTTCATACAAGTCACGTCTTAAACTATGTGTTTCTTTTGGGAAAAAAAGATCACCATGTTTCTGCACATTTCTATAAATATTTGCTTCATTCTCAGAAGTGATGTGGGGATAGTGAGAGTTGCGCTGCTGCATTTGTTTTGCAGATAACGACTGTGGGGACAACAGTGACGAGACGGGCTGCAGCCACTCCTGCTCCAGCGCTCAGTTCAAGTGTAACAGTGGCCGCTGCATCCCAGATTACTGGACGTGTGATGGAGACAACGACTGTGGGGACTACAGCGATGAGACACACGCCAACTGCACCAATCAGAGTCAGTGTCCCTATGTGGTGGTCTACTGGAGGGCCACACATCTATTGCATTCATTATAACTTGGTTTAGGGTTCTGCTTTTATTTTTCAATGAAGCAAAATTGTCAAACCTTGGACCTATGAGAGATATGGTCCTCCAGGACCGCCATCTAGAATGTTTTAGTTGTTTCTCTGCTCCTACACACTTGATTCAATGGTTGATTCCCTTGGGAAGCTGCTCATCAGGCTATGCAGAAGCCTTTTAATCACCTGCTGGGGGGCTGGTGCCTATCTCCAGCGGTCAATGGGCAATCAGGCGCGAGGTACACCCTGGACAGAGAGCCAGGACCTTCTTGCTGCAAGGCAGCAGCTCTAACCACTGCATCACTGCGCAGCCAAAGGTGGTAAATTATGATGGTTTATTCCCAATCAGCTGTTTCTGAAATCCAGAACAAACACAAAGAGGGAAAACAAAACATTCTTATGAGGATTTTTAGAATTTAAGAACAATGGATAAATGGCCTATATTTGTAAAGCACCTTGAACCATCACCTTATCGTGGTGGAGGAGTTTGAGTGCCCTAATGATCCTAGGAGCTATGTTGTCTGGGGCACTTTGTGCCCCTGGTAGGGTCTCCCATGACAAATTGGTCTTAGGTGAAGGGTGAGACAAAGAACGGTTCACAGGATCTTTCATGGATGTAAATTCAAAGAGTCGGAGTACCCGGCCCGGAGGGTTACCGGGGTCCCACCCTGGAGCCAGACCTGGGGTTGGGGCCCGTGAGCAAGCGCTTGGTGGCCGGGCTTTCGCCCATGAGGCCCGGCCGGGCCCAGCCCGAACCAGATACATGGGCTCATCCAACTGTGGACCCACCACCCGCAGGAGGAACATGAAGGATCCGGTGCAATGTGGATCGAGGGGCAAACCAAGGCGGGAGCCTTGGCGGTCCTATCCCCGGACAAGAAAACAGTTTTTTGGGACATGGAACGTCATTGGCTCTGGAACCCAAGTCCTTGAGAGGGGTTGGACACTCTCCTTTGCTGGAGTTGCTCCGGGTAAGAGGCGGAGGGCTGGGGTTGGCTTTTTGTTAGCCCCGAGACTCTCTGCCTGTGTGTTGGGGTTTACCCCGGGGGAAGAGAGGGTAGCTTCCCTGTGCCTTCTGGTCAGGGAACGGGTCCTGACTGTTGTCTGTGCTTATGGGCCAAATATCAGTTCAGAGTACCCACCCTTTTTGGAGTCCCTGGGACGAGTGCTAGATAGTGCTCCATCAGGGGACACCATTGTCCTGCTGGGGGACTTCAATGCTCACGTGGGCAATGACAGCTTGACCTGGAGGGGTGTGATTGGGAGGAACGGCCCGCCTGATCTGAACTCGAGTGGTGTTTCATTATTGGACTTCTGTGCAAGCCGCAGTTTGGCCATGACGAACACCATGTTTGAACATAAGGATGCCCATCGGTACACTTGGTACCAGGGCAGCCTAGGCTGCAGGTCAATGATAGACTTTGTAGTCGTATCATCTGACCTGCGGCCGTATGTTTTGGACACCCGAGTGAAGAGAGGAGCAGAGCTGTCAACTGATCACCACCTGGTGTTGAGTTGGATCAGATGGCAGGGGAAGATGCCGCGTAGACCTGGCAGACCCAAACGCATAGTGAGAGTCTGCTGGGAACGCCTGGCAGAAGAACCTGTTAAGACGGTCTTCAACTCCCACCACCGGCAGAGCTTTGTCCACGTCCCGAGAGCAGTGGGGGACATTGACTCTGAGTGGGCCTTGTTCCACTCTGCGATTGTTGAGGCGGCTGTTGCTAGCTGTGGTCGCAAGGTGGCCGGTGCCAGTCGTGGTGGCAACCCCCGTACCCGCTGGTTGACACCAGAGGTTCGGGGAGCCGTCAGGCTGAAGAAGGAGGCCTACAGGGCGTGGCTGGTCTGTGGGTCTCTGGAGGCAGCAGAAGGTACCGGATAGCCAAGCGGGGTGCAGCAGTGGCAGTTGCCGAGGCAAAATCTCGGGCGTGGGAGGAGTTTGGTGAGGCCATGGAGAAAGACTATCGATCGGCTCCAAAGAGGTTCTGGCAAACTGCCCGGCGCCTCAGGAGAGGAAGGCAGCAACTCGCTCACACTGTTTACAGTGGGGATGGGGAGCTGCTGACGTCAACTGGGCCTATAGTCGGGCGGTGGAAGGAATACTTTGAGGAGCTCCTCAATCCCACCTACGCGCATTCTGAGGAGGAACCAGAGCCGGGGGACCTGGGGATGGACTGTCCAATCTCGGGGGCAGAAGTTGCTGAGGTAGTCCAACAACTACACAGCGGCGGAGCCCCGGGGGCGGATGAGGTTCATCCTGGGTATCTCAAGGCTATGGATGTTGTAGGGCTGCCATGGTTGACACGTCTCTGCAACATTGCGTGGTCATCAGGGGCAGTTCCTGTGGAGTGGCAGACCGGGGTGGTGGTCCCCATCTTTAAGAAGGGTGACCTGAGGGTGTGTTCCAACTATAGGGGGATCACACTCAGCCTCCCTGGAAAGGTCTACTCCAAGGTACTGGAGAGGAGGGTCCGATCGATAGTTGAATCTCAGATTGAGGAGGAGCAATGTGGTTTTTGTCCTGGCCATGGAACTGTGGACCAGCTCTATACCCTTGCAAGGGTGATGGAGGGGGCATGGGAGTTTGCCCAACCAATCCACATGTGTTTTGTGGATTTGGAGAAGGCTTATGACCGTGTCCCCAGGGGCACCCTGTGGGGGACGCTCCAGGAGTATGGGGTGGGTGGCTTTCTGTTAAGGGCCATTCAGTCCCTTTACCAGAGGAGCGTGAGTTTGGCCCGCATTGCCAGTAGTAAGTTGGACCTGTTCCCAGTGAGGGTTGGATGCCGCCAGGGCTGCCCTTTGTCACCGGTTCTGTTCATTACCTTTATGGACAGAATTTCTAGGTGCAGCCGTGGTGTGGAGTGTGTCGAGTTTGGTGGCAGGAGAATCTCGTCTCTGCTTTTTGCGGATGATGTGGTCCTCCTAGCTTCATCCAGCTCTGACCTTCAGCTCTTGCTGGGTAGGTTCGTGGCCGAGTGTGAAGCGGCTGGGATGAGGATCAGCACCTCCAAATCTGAGACCATGGTTCTCAACCGGAAAAGGGTGGCTTGCCACCTCCGGGTTGAGGGAGAGGTCCTACCTCAAGTGGAGGAGTTTAAGTATCTCGGGGTCTTGTTCACGAGTGAGGGTAGGAGGGATCAGGAGATCCACAGGCAGATTGGTTCAGCATCTGCAGTGATGCGGACGCTGAGCCGATCTGTCGTGGTGAAGAGGGAGCTGAGCCAGAAAGCCAGGCTCTCGATTCACCAGTCGATCTACGTCCCAATCCTCACCTATGGTCATGAGCTTTGGATAATGACCAAAAGAACGAGATCGCGGATACAAGCGGCCGAAATAAGTTTCCTCCGTAGGGTGGCCGGACTCAGCCTTAGAGATAGGGTGAGGAGCTCGGACATTCGGGAGGGACTCTGAGTAGAACCGCTGCTCCTCCGGATCGAAAGGAGCCAGTTGAGGTGGTTTGGGCATCTGGTCAGGATGCCTCCTGGACGCCTCCCCGGGGAGGTGTTTTCGGGCATGTCCTGCCGGCAGGAGGCCCCCGGGTCGACCCAGGACACGTTGGAGAGGTTACATCTCCATTCTGGTCCGGGAACGCCTTGGGGTCCTGCCAGAGGAGCTGGTGGAGGTGGCCGGGGAGAGGACAGTCTGGAGCTCCCTAGTTGGGATGCTGCCCCAGCGACCCGGACCCGGATAAGCGGAGGAACACAACGACGACGACAACCTTCCAACCCCCCCCAAGGCACCCCCCAAGGCACTTCCAACCCCCCAAGGCACTTCACAACACAATCATTCACCCATTCACGCGCTGGTGGGCATGTAGCCACAGCTGTCCTAGGGTGCACTGACAGAGGTGAGGCCTGCCGTACACTGGCACCTGCAGGCAAGGCGGGCTGAGTGTCTTATCCAAAGACGCAACTAAAGAGTAGATTTTTGTCCCGTCTTCTCTGGTGTCTCTCAGATGGGTGTAAATATGCCGAGCTAGGCGCTTCCTGATTCACTTAATACTTCTAGTTGAAATAAAAACTATTTTATTTATAACTTGGCAAACATAAAACCCAAACTTATGCAGCAGCACACAAATGTTATATTAAAAAAATTAAAACAAAATAACTAAAGCTAACCCAGTTTTCTTGTTGACTCTGTTGACCTGAAGGCAGGATAACAATTAATTCCTCTTCTTTTCAGAAATGACCAATAAAACGTTACTCCCCCATCAGCTCTGCTCCACATGCAGACCTGCATGTGATGCACTGCACTTGTAAAAAGCCTCTATAACAGAAAAACAACCCTTAACATCAGATTAGATTGTATTGTCTGCTGCAGTGTGACAGTGTTTATAAAACACAGCTGTGACATATGGTTGTTATTATCATGGGTGGGTGGTTGCATCTCACCACTGTGGTTATTCATTTATGTTTTTATTACCAGATGTTCACTCGCCACTTAAACCAGAGAAAGTATTTACTTTTTGTAAACAGGCAGTTTTGTCTCTAGCTGTAAGTGATCCCTCTGACCAGTGATGCCTAATGACTGGGCTGAGTAAGGGAATAAATAATGGTTCAGTTTGGATGATTTAAAAGCTCATAATTCAGTGTTTACAGCTTAGTTCCTATGCAGAAACACGCTGGAGCTGAATGTATGACAGTCAGCAGGTGTTCTGAGTAAAACAGTGACCCCGTAAATGTGTGCTCTAATCTGTTCTGTCGAGTCTCTTTCCTGTCTTTTAAACCTGACAGTTTATCAGTGTTTTGATGTTGCTCCATGAGTCCATGCAGTGTGTGACTTGTTTAATTCATGAGAGGACAGAAGACTGTCCCTTTAGAGCTCAACTCTATGGTTTTACTTTTCTCTGCAGCCACACGTCCGCCTGGTGGTTGTCATACAGATGAGTTTCAGTGTCGAATGGACAGCCTCTGCATCCCTCAGCGTTGGCGCTGTGACGGGGACACGGACTGCATGGACATGAGTGATGAGAAGAACTGCGAGGGCATCATTACCACCACCTGTGATCCAGCACTCAAGTTTACTTGCAGAGACACTGGTGAGAAGACGTCAAAGCATTGTGAACAAGTTTTAAATAAACTAAATGTATTTATATGTTGCTGCCAGACTTTCTCTGCCAGAAAAAAGTTAAAACAATAAATTAAATACAAAAACATTACAAAAATGACTAAATTAAATGAAAAGAGAAATGTCTTTTATTAGCAACCAACAGCGTTAAGGATCATGTAAAGGGTTCATTGGTTTTCTCTTTTCGAGGTGTTTTTTGGGCCTTCAGCTGCTGTTTTACTTATTCTTGGTCCAGTTATTAAACCTGACCTGCTGTACAAGTAGGGATGGGTACCTTTGACATTTGAATCGATCCGGTACTAATTCCCGGTACCTACGAATCGATACCGGTACTTAACGGTACCAATTTTCGATACTTTTGAGTGTTTATTATTTTAATTCTCTTTTATAATTAAATATATATTTTTCTCAATATATAACCATATTTGATAAATATCACGATAAATAACATTCAACTGTTTGTATTTTAACATCGTCCTTGTAGTTTTATAAGCTGATAATTAAACTGAAGCAAACATCTTTACTGTGAACTAAATTTACTGTGTATCTTCATTCCTTTTGCCGTCTTTTTTCATTTGATTTTTCCTACTGGGAAGTTAGAATTTCCGAGGAGAAAGCGAACGCACCATTAGCTGATAACAAAGGTAGCAATGGAAGCTAACATATCAAGCTACGTTATCTTTAACAGTTTATTTAACTGCTGGAGCAGATTAAAACGATGATGCCTCACACTTAGATCGTTGTCGCTGGTTTCATCTTCACCCAATCACCCGTCGCATTTAGTAAAGTGAAGCCAAACTTTAGAGCGCGTTCATGTTCTTCTAGGCGGAAATTCGGAGTTCCGAGGAGAAAGCGAACGCACCATTAGCGAAACGGAAGCTAACATATCAAGCTAACTTTATCTTAAACATTTCATTTACCTACCGGAGCAGATTAAGATGAGGATGTCTCACTTCGATCGTTTCTGTCGCTGGTTTCATCACCCAGGTACCCATCACATTTAGAGAAGTGGACCCGAGCTTTAGCGTGCGTTCTTTCTACCATGCTGCTCTGTTTACAACTCACTCGCAGGGACTGACGACACAACGCTCTTGCGCATGCGCAGCTGTCTAGGCAAGTTCTCGTTATGATGGACGGGTACCGAAACGAGGCACCGTTTGAAATGACGTGAATCGGTGCTCGGTCGGTACTATGGAATTCGGTCGGTACCTTAAAAATACCGAATTCGGTACCCATCCCTATGTACAAGTGTTGAAGAATTAGGAAAGGATATACAAAAGAAGAAGTGTAAGATTTGAGAAAAGAAACTAGCCACAGTGTCTGGTTCGCTGGTGTGCTACCAGAATTGTAGACCGTGTTTATTTAAAGTAGACATTGTGTGCAAAATTCACCTTTTGCATCCTTTTGTACTGCCACATGGGTCTCTACTGCCTCTATAAAAACTCCAAGCATGAAAAAAAAACATCCATCCTTTTTCTGCCAGTGAGCCGTTTAAAAAAATACTAATTTGTGATGTCACAAATGGCAAAAGTAGAATAGAGCCTCCTCTCACATGCAAGAGAGCTGCTGCTGGAGACGCAGCAGCTCTACTATGAACCCCTCTGGAAATTGGAGTTTCTCAGCCTATAGCAGTCTGAACAGGTGGGTGTGGCCAGCTCCAGCTTGTTTTCTCAAAGTATCAGAACCCTGAAATGGCTCGTTCTGGAAGGTGCTGAAACTGTTCTGAATGAAACCCCTGAAATTGCTTTATGTGTGGCTGAGTTAGTGCAAAGAACTTCATGAACACGTTTTGTATCGAATATAACTTAAGATTTTAATAAACAGAATTAAAAACTTGCACAGGTATAGGTAGTTAATGGTACAGCAACAATGAACTCAAGGAGCTTTATTCACAGAGGAGGGAGTAGAAAATGAGATGAGCACAGGTGAGATGGGAAACAATTAGGAAAGGCCCAGCTGAGCAGAATAAGGCTGATCAAAATGAGGGTGAGCAGAAGAGTGTCTGGGGAAACCGAAACATAAATAAACAATAATAATCTAAGAAAACAGAAGATTGTAATCGAAGTGGAAAACCAATGACTGAATGAACTGGATAAAAGATTAATTCAAATGAAAAGTAGTAAATAAACTATGAATAGCCTAAAAACGCCCACCTATCATGACACACCTGTATTTGTAAAGCATCATCCTTCAGCTGATCTACTGCTGTCTGATAAGCTTTCATCTGAAAGTGTTAAACTTATTTTTCATCTTTTATCCTAAAGAATCAGGAGCAAATTGTGCCTTAGTCCCAGGCTGCTGGTACAAAAGCGTTTGTGTAGAGTTTTGGATCCTTATGAATCATAGGTCAGATGTAAGTGGCTGCAGAACTAATGGCACTGTGGAAAATGGCTCTCCTGGATGCTAATTAGATATATACACATGAATTTTAAAAGTAAGCTAGCTTTGTGTGTCTGCAGGTCGGTGCATCAATAAAGCCTGGATTTGTGACGGCGACAGCGACTGTGAGGACAACTCGGACGAGGACAACTGTAATAATCTGGTCTGTAAGCTCTCTCATCACATGTGTGCCAACAACTCCACCATCTGTCTGCCTGCGGAGAAGCTCTGCGATGGCACCGACGACTGCCCAGATGGTTCTGATGAGACACTCTGTGGTAAGAAACAACATCACTCAGGCTGCATCTCAGAGCGGGGAGCAGAGAACAGCAGGTATAGCTTGCCCTCGCTCCTCATCTGCTGCTCTGACATTCCTCTCTTGAACAGATCTGTGCTCTGTGAACAATGGCGAGTGCAGCCATAACTGCACCGTGGCCCCCGGTGAGGGTGTGGTCTGTTCCTGCCCGCTGGGCATGGAGCTGGGGTCCAACAACAAGACCTGTCAGATCCAAAGCTTCTGCGCAAAACACCTGAAGTGCAGTCAGCGCTGCGAGCAGGACAAGTTCAGCGTGAAGTGCTCGTGTTACGAAGGATGGGAGCTGGAGCCCGACATGGAAAGCTGTAAAAGCACGGGTAAGAGGCTGCAGGCTATGAGAGACCAAGTTTACCCAACATAATAAAAGTTTGTTTATTAGGTGTGGAAGCTAGAGATGTGGCCTTGGTAAAGCTTTTCTAAGGTTCACCACAGAAACGCAAGTACAGAGAAAAGTGTGGTTGGGAAGGAAGCATTATGTTAAAGCACCACAGACCGAGGAGGAAATAGACAAAGAGTGAGAGGTTATTCCTTTTTAATACTATGATGGAAGACATGAGAAACTTTGAGCAGTTATTTCCTGCCCTCATTAATATTTCATTAAAAGAACTTTGAATATGAAGAATTACCTCAAGAGCAGGAAGGATATTTTTTTTGCTAAAGTCAATGAAAGGGTGAGTTGTGAAAAGCAGAAAGCATTCTCTGAGACAGCTCTGAGTTTATCATCCACATAAAGGAACTACAGTCGTTATCTCCCTGCAGCAACTCACCCAGACACAAACATGAATTTATGCAGCTGGAGTCTCAGAGAGCAGCCAGCAGCAGCACCCCGTCATTCATGCTGCCGTCTGTCTGGCTGCCTGTTAGCTACAGATAACTCCTGTCTAATTTACTCAGAGTTTCCATTACACGGGATTAAGACCACTTCCAGCAAAACCCCTTTTAATGGGGAGAGTCTGTGCTGGTGTTTTACTGGGTTTAGTTAACCAGATCAGAGCAGTTCCACCTGCTCCAGAAACATTTACATCCACTATTACCATCCATCTACCCAACAATCCATCCGTCACTCATCCATCCATCTGTTCATCCATTCATCCATCCATCAATGCAACTGTCCACCCACCCACCCACCCATCCATCCGTCACTCATCCATCCATCCATGCAACCGTCCACCCACCCACCCATCCATCATTCATTCATCCATACATGCAACCATCCAACCATCCATCATTCATTCATCCATCCATCCAACCATCCACCCATCCATCATTCATTCATCCATCCATGCAACCGTCCACCCACCCACTCGTCCGTCATTCATTCATCCATCCATGCAACCGTCCACCCACCCACTCATCCGTCATTCATTCATCCATCCATGCAACCGTCCACCCACCCACCCATCCATCATTCATTCATCCATACATGCAACCATCCACCCATCCATCATTCATTCATCCGTTCATCCATCCATACATACATACATCCATCCTTGCAACCGTCCACCCATCCATCCATCCATCATTCATTCATCCATCAGTGCAACTGCCCACCCTCCCACCAATTCATCCATCCATTCATGCATCTATCCGTCTATCCATCAGTGCAACCATACACCAACCCACCCATCCATCCTCATTCATTCATCCATCTATGCAACCGTCCACCCACCCACCCATCCATCCATCATTCATCCATCCATCTATGCAGCCATCCACCCACCCATCCATCCATCATTCATTCATCCACACATCCATCCGTCTATCCATCCATCAATGCAACCGTCCACCCACCCACCTATCCATCCGTCATTCATCCATCCATCCATGCATCCATCTGTCCGTCCATCCATCCATCCATCCATCCATCTGTCCGTCCATCCATCCATCCATCATTCATCTATTAATCAATCCATGCAACCATCCACCCAACCACCCATCCGTCATTCATCCATCCATCCATCCATCCATCCATGCATCCGTCCGTCCATCCATCCATCCATCCATTCATCCATCCATCCATCCATCCATCCATCCATCCATCCATCCATCCATGCAACCATCCACCCACCCATCCATCCATCATTCATCCACCCATGCACCCACTCATTCATCCATCCTTCATCCATCCATCCATGCATTTGTCTGTCTATCCATCCGTTGGACCATTCGCCATCCGTCGATGCAAGGGTCCACCCACATACCCATCCATGCATCATTCATCCATCAAATTTTTTACACTGATTGGCGGTCTGATCACAGATCAAGGAGGAAAACCCACACATCCTTCTCTCCAGCTCCTCCTGGGCCAGACAGGATACAATGATATCCTTTATGATACAAATCAGTGAATTATGGGTCTCACCTTAGTTGGAAGGTCCTGGAAAACCTTCAGAAGCCTCAACGGACTCTCTTTGATGAGGAGGAGGAGTAGCTGCTGTACTCCAGACTCTTCTTGGATAATGGAGCTCCTCAACTTTTCTCTGACGTCGGCCCCTGCCATTACAGGAGAAGCTTGTTTCAGCTGTTCTGATCCCTCCCCACCTGAGAACAGTCCTTGTTCACCCAGAGAACCATGGCCTCAGTCTCTTATGTGGTTTTGCTGCAGATTCAAATAATACATTCCTGAACCATTTTCCAGTCTAGTTAGAACTTTAAGAACAGCTAAAACAACAAATGTGAACTAAAACTTGTGTAAAGTCATGTGGGAATGTTCTATAATGTCTGTAGTCTTTTAGAAAACACAGCTGTTGTCGTCTTCCTGATGTTCACAGACCCATTCAAGCCCTTCATCATTTTCTCAAACCGTCACGAGATCCGTCGCATCGATCTAAACAAGGGAGAGTTCAGCGTGCTGGTACCAGGCCTCAGAAACACCATCGCCCTGGACTTCCATCTGAACCAGAGCTCCCTCTACTGGACCGACGTGGTGGAAGATAAGATCTACCGCGGGAAGCTGTCCGAGAACGGTGGTGAGCGTTAGCTTCCGATCATAATCAGTGGTCCACATCCTTTGCCTGTGATGAAGGGGACAGCGGTGTCACATGAGCTGGAGACAAACGTTAAGATTTATTTAGAATTTGATGAGTCAGCCAGACATGAGAAGTCTCAGGTTAGAGTTTAGTTTGCTGTGAATTTAGTTGCTTTATTTTGATATTTTCTGTTAAATGTAGGTCTTTTATTTCCTCGTAGCACCAAACCACCCAGTTTCCATCCCTACTGATGAACATCCTGCAGCTTTTCTGTGTAGTTTGTTGTTCTTCTGTTGTGTTTGAAAGCAGCAAACAACTATGTGCTAACATTGTTGCAAACACAATAATTACTCAGCGCTCTCATTAGGGAGCCCATTGTAAAATGAAAGGGTTAGAAAGAGGTGGCAGAAGTGTCTCCTCAGCCCTGACACCACAAATTTAATTCAGTATGTGGTTCTACTATCACATCCCTCCCCCTTTCAAGTGGTTTGTCCCCAACAAAGCATCCAAACAGTCCATTAAAGAACAATTTGTGATGCAGCGATCTGATTCCAAATAGCCTTCAATTATACAAATGTACGATGAGTAAAGCCCAGCAGATCAGTGCCGGGGGCTGTGCTACGGTCGGAAAAGCTGTCATCAGCAAATCCCTGCGAGCAGAACCTTTAACAATGCAAATTTAAACAGTACAAGTTCAACAGGAGACTTTAGCACCTCAGAGTACAGTTTGTTTTATTGAATTTTGTGAGAAAATTGGATTAAATACTATTTTTAACAGTCTAGGACTAAATGTTTAAAGATATTTCTCAGTAAGGTGCATTTTCATCATTCTTTTTTTTTTTTTTTTTTGATGACTAAACTGGCAGCACTGCAGATGAAGAGCTTTGTTAGCATAAAATGTTAAAAGATTTGCTTTATACTTTCCTTCTGTAGCATTAACCAGCTTTGATGTGGTAATCCAGTACGGGCTGGCTACACCCGAGGGCCTGGCAGTGGACTGGATAGCGGGAAATATTTACTGGGTGGAAAGTAACCTGGATCAGATCGAAGTGGCCAAGTTGGACGGCACCATGAGGACCACTCTGCTGGCGGGGCACGTGGAACACCCTCGAGCTATTGCTCTCGACCCACGGGACGGGTAACGGCTTCACTGCTAACGCTGCCTGTCAACAAGCTTTTACACTGAAATATTTCTCTACATTCACTGTTGACAACATTGTGAGTCTGCTCTTGTTTTATGACCCTGCAGGATCCTTTTCTGGACAGATTGGGACGCCAGTTTGCCGAGGATCGAGGCTGCATCCATGAGCGGAGAGGGCAGAAAGACCATCCATAAGGAGACAGGCAGCGGGGGCTGGCCAAACGGGCTCACTGTGGATTATCTAGAGCGGAGAATCCTCTGGATCGATGCCAGGTCAGACCAAGAACAAACTTTTATAGGATGTCTAACAAAGTTCAATCAGGTGATTTAACCAAAAAAGTAATCACTTTCCTCAGGTCTGATGCCATTTATTCAGCTAAGTATGACGGCTCTGGGCTGATCCAGGTTCTGAAAGGCCACGAGTATCTCTCCCATCCGTTTGCCGTCACCATGTATGGAGGAGAGGTTTACTGGACCGACTGGAGGACCAACACGCTGGCCAAGGCCAACAAGTGGACCGGGAGTAACGTCACAGTGGTCCAGAGAACCAACACGCAACCTTTTGACCTGCAGGTGTATCACCCATCCAGACAGCCACAGGGTGTGACTTCACACGCACGCACACACACACACACACACACACACACACACACACACACACACACACACACACACACACACACACACACACACACACACACACACACACACACACACACACACACAATCTGTCAGTGAAACTTCTCCTTACATGGAAATGGAGCCAAAGTCATGCATACATTTTTTTAATGACACATTTTATTTTTTTAAAGAAAATTTTGCATCTGACACAAAATTCTACCAAAACTGTGAATGCTTTGGGATGTGATGTCACCCATCTCCATTTTCACTTTTCTTACTTGAAACTCAGCAACATTCTGTCAGGAACTGAGCACCATCATCGCTGCTCATTCTGCTCTACAACTGTGTCCTTTGTGATCCAAGCTTCATGAGAGTACTATCATAGTCTGACTCTTAGGACCAAAGCCTACTGGTTGTGCAGCACCAGGTTAAAGACCAAAGGTGACAGATCATCTGCTGCTGTGGCCCCCAGACTCTGGACCTCTCTCCCTGAGCCTGAGATCAGTGGACTCAGTGGTCTCCTTTAAGAAGCAGCTGAAACACCTGTTCAAGCTGGTTTTGGTGTGACCATCATCACCACCCTCTCCTCATTCTGTTCTTTCTGATGGCCTCTTTCTTATTCATTTTCTCTTTCCATTTCTTCACATTTTTCTATCACAATTATTTATTTTCTCATTTTAAAAAATTTGTAATTTGTTTTTTTTTTTTTTTTGTTCTTGTGAAGCACCTTGTGATTTTTATCTTGAGAGGTGCTATATAAAAGATTGTTTTCTTTCTGTCTTTCTTTCCAATAATTGACCCTCTGGTGTTCCTAATGGGGTCAGATGGACCCCAGGTTTTATTTTTCCATGCTTTTTCCCGGTTTCTTCACTAATCCAGATGTGGCGAGCCTTCCTGTGAGCATTTCCGGGGTCTTGGTCCAACTTTTGCTCAGTCCTAGTGGGGTCTAATGTTTGCTGTTTCGTGTTTTGTTTACCCTTTCTCTCAACAAATCCTGCTACAGCAAGCCCTCCGTTCATAGTTTTGGCTGAAATCTAGTGTTTGTTATTTATGTTCAACCCACCTGCATTCCTAATGGGGTCAGATGGACCCCAGAAGGATAAGCACCACCTTACCCTGCCACATGGACCCCAAGGGATAAACCATCAACTCTGGTCAACCATCCCCTGGGTCACCCAATAGGACAACAGGACAGTTCTGCAATTGTATTTTCTTTAGTTGGAACGCATCAGGGTCCACACAGCACTTCGTCCCGGCCCACCCTCAGACTCATGAGACCTGAAAGAGCTGTTTTTTAAACATCTAGCGTGCTTTTATTGAAAGCATCACCGATTTGGACCCAGTGATGAAAGCTTTGATGTTTTTAAATCATTCAGTGATTTGCACCACAGAATCAGAGCCTATGGTGCAAACTGGCATATTTTAATATTTCATCATTTCTTGTATTTATGTATTTTTTGCATTGTGCGTGTTTACAAGTGGTGTTTTCCTGTTTTCCTCTCTCCAGCTCCTAACCCCTGTGCAGCCAGAGACGGCAAAAAGCCGTGCTCTCACCTCTGCCTCATCAACTACAACCAGACGTTTTCCTGCGCTTGTCCTCACCTCATGAAGCTGGGCCCTGACAAACAAACCTGTTATGGTGAGTCTGAACACGCGTGTGTAGATGAAGATCTGATGGAACACACACCGAGGTACTCCTGTTAAACAGCACGATCTAATCGTTGTGTATTTGTGTGTGTGTGTGTGTGTGGGGGGGGGGGGGGGGGGGGGTCTTTTTGTGACACTTGGTTTTATAAGAGTGTGTTCCCATGAGACAGTGTGGCTGCTTTTTCTGCGTAAATTTAATATTCTGAGCTGGAGTCTCTGTTGTCTTAAGGGGTAAGGGAATAGAAGCCCCCACCACACACACACACACACACACACACACACACACACACACACACACACACACACACACACACACACACACACACACACACATTCTGCCCCATCCAAATCTTCCTGTCAGTCATTTCACAGTTAAACAGTCATTGAGACCATCGTAGATGCTTCGTCTCTCCATGATTGAATTCCCTCTAACCGTCGAGTCTATTAGGTTACCGAGCCACAAGTAATAACTCGAGTCAAAGATGCAATTAGGTTTAGTGCTTGTTCGAGTGGCAGAAATATTACACAGCTATTTATCTTCCAGTGCAAAAATCCATCCATGTGTTATTGATTGCTCACCCTTTTTGACTTCATTTACCTTTTGACGGATTCATGTCGACATCTCGCCCCCCTTTCCTGCAGAGTCGCGACAGTTTTTACTGTATGCTCGACAAATAGAGATCAGAGGAGTGGACATCGACAACCCGTACTACAATTACATCATCTCCTTCACCGTGCCGGACATCGACAACGTGACCGTGGTCGACTACGATGCTCTGGAGCACCGGATCTACTGGTCCGACGTGCGAACTCAGACCATCAAGAGAGCTTTCATCAATGGGACTGGGGTAGAGACGGTGGTGTCTGCTGGTAAGGAGGCCATTTACCACGGGACAGGTCAAAGTTCAAAGGCTCATTATATTAAATATGAGACAAAAAAAAGTCAGGCAGATTTGAACAGACGTAGGAACATTTTGTGATCATTCAAAAAAACAGATACCTATTTATCTGATTTCATTTTTTGTGGGCTTTTTGATTGTTTTTAATTGAAGTTCAAAGATTTGCTAAATCGATATTTTTGGTCCATTTTTTATTTATTTTACCAAACTTTTCCTGGAATCAAATCTTTACACAGTAAGAGTCCAGTCTTCATCTGAAAACTGTAACGACACACACATTCAGACCTCGTCAGGGGCTGTTTTTACTAGGGATGTCCCGATCCGATCACATGATCGGAAATCGGCCCCGATCATGTGGTTTCAGACTGATCGGGACTCGGGCTTTACTTCCCGATCCAAGCCCCGATCTGGACTTGGATACTGGGTTAAAATTACAGGAGAGCAACTTGGTTCTCCTTAAAGGTTGTCAGGCTCCCCTGATGCCCTTAACTTACACACCCAGAAGGAACACAAAACAGATCAAGTTTCTACCTTTATTATATTATTTATATGGACTCAGAGTAGCAGGGATTCTTTTGAGCAGAGATGCAGAGAGCAGCAGGCAGACCGCTGATTATTCATGAACTCCAGCTGCGGTCTGCACACGGCCACAGTAACATTTTCTAAGTTTCTAAGTGGCGTCACCAAAAATATACAATTAACACACAGCTGTTTGTGTCCGTTCATTTTCTCTCTGGTAAGTTCTGTCTGTATTTGAGCATGACGTGTGGACGCGCTCGCGCTGCCCCCGCTGCAGCGCTCGTCACCGGCGCAGCCGGGCAGCGCAGCGCACTCCGCTTTTTTGCGGTAAATAGATCAAATTGATCTGCTAGTTAAAAAGTTACTAGTGAGGTGAAAAAGAAGGGAGCAGGCAGGAGTTTTTCTGGAGGACTGGGAGATGCAGGAAGATCGGAGACAGACAGGACAGGAAGATAGGAAAATAAAAACCAAGAAAACAAAACAAAGTTCTTAAAAAATTAAAATGTAGGTCATTTATCCCACTACACATTTGTACCTGTATAAAGCAGTAACTTATCAGCATGTAGTATTTATATAGTTGATACAGTTCAGATCATCTTCAAAACCCCCTCCCATGCCCAGGGACGTATCTAAGCATTTTGGGGGCCGAGGCAAAATAGACCCCTGCCAGGTATTTTAAGTTGAAGTGCTATCTGTTTTTATATTAGACTTTTAATATTTGCAATAAAGTCCTAAATTGAAGAATTTATGTTATTTATTACTTGATTGTTCAAGCTACCTCACCGAAGTGATCTGCTGTTAAAAAATAAAATAAAAAGGTAATTAAATAAAAGATAAAGAACATTCTGGAACTGTTTCTTCCTTTTCTTTATTATTATTTTTTTTTTTACGTATCGAAAGTATCGGATCGGGACTTGGTATCGGCAGATTCTCAAAGTCAAATGACTCGGACTCTGGGGCAAAACACCTGATCGGGACATCCCTAGTTTTTACTACACAGAATCATTTCCTGTTGCTGTGAGGAAAGGGTTGTTCTGTTTTTGTTGTTAAAAACCAACTTTGGCACAAAAATCAGCTGCAGTCAGAAATGATTCAGAAATTTCTGACCTTAAACATAAATCTGTTATCTTATGTTGCCTCAGATCTACCCAACACACACGGTCTGGCAGTGGACTGGGTGTCCAGGAATCTGTTCTGGACCAGTTATGATGCCAATAAAAAACAGATTAATGTCGCCAGACTGGACGGATCGTTCAAGAACGCTGTTATCCAGGGTCTGGACAAACCACAGTGTCTGGTACTGCATCCAATCCTGGGGTCAGTCCCACACACACACACATGGATGCATGCACGGATGCATGCACACACACACACACACACACATGCATACATATGGATGTATGCATGGACGTATGCACACACACACACACACACACACACATGGCTGCATGCATGGACGCATGCACACATACACACACACACACATACATACATACAGACGCATGCATGGATGCACACACACACACACACACACACACACACACACACACATACGGACGCTTGGATGGAACTGCACACACACACGGATGCATGTGTAAACCGTATGGGTGCACGAACACACACACACACGAACGCATGCATGGTTGTACACACACACAAACACAAACACACATGCATGCTTTACATGTTTGTGTGCATGGACACACACAAACATGCATGCATGGAAACACACAAACATGCATGCATGGAAACACACACACACACAAACATGCATGCATGCTTCACTTTCATGTTTGTGTGCATGGACACACACAAACATGCATGCATGGACATGGACACACACGGACGCACACGCTGATGCACACACACATGCACAAACACACATACATGCACTTACATGCGCAAGAATATACGGAAGCACAGACACACACACACACATATGCACATGCACAGACACACACACACACACACACACACACACACATGCACAAAAGCACAAACACACACACATATGCACATGCACAGAAGCACAGACACACATATGCACATGCACAGAAGCACAAACACACACACACACACACATATGCACATGCACAGAAGCACACACACACACACACACACACACATATGCACAGAAGCACAAACACACACGCACACACTGGCTTTAGTTTTTCTCTCCTTTTGACACTTTTTTCTCCTCCAAAGCTTCTTCTGTACTTTGAAACGTTCTTTACCTAAACATAAGTGTTGCTGCTTTTTTGTCCCTTTTTCCATTTCTGTCCATGTTTCTCTCCTCTGTGTTTATCCTACATCCGTTTTTAGGTAAAACATCCATCCCTCTCTTGTCTACTCTCCTTGAACTTCCTCCAAACTGACCCAGTCTCCTGTCAGCCCTGCAGATCACACACAGACCATCTGTATTTATTATACATGTTTTTCACTTTCCACAAAGAACAGTTGTGTTTTTGTTTACTCCTACATCCCTTTGAAAGACTTAGCTCGGTAAAGTAGAGGAATGTTTCCGATCCGAGGGAAAACGAGAAGCAGATGGTGGAGACCCAAACGTAAGCGCTGGCTGCTCCTGCTGCCACACAAACACACTTGACCCCAAACATAGAGCGGGCGGGGTCAAAGAGAGGCGGGATCACCGCCACATGTGTTTGCACAAGAACTCCAAATGTGGGGGTATAGATGCCTGCATGTCTGTATTTTAAGACGTGTTAACATATATATTGGAGGGTGTGGTGGACGTGGTTGAATTTACCAGGAAGTGGGCTTTTACAAACGCACGCTGTCTGAAAACAGTAGCAGAAATGTTGGGGTGATTCTCTGTCGAGCCTTTAGCTGCTGAGCTCCAGCTGACTTCTTCCTCTCATGCGTCTCTAACTTGTTTCAGTCAACAAAAAGTCTGAACTTTGATTTTAAAACATGAAATGTTGTTTAGAGGTGGGGTAAAGCGAGTCTTCCTCGTTTCCACTTATTCTGCTGCGTTCGCCTCCATCAGGAAGTTGTACTGGACAGATGGGGACGACATCAGCACGGCCAACACAGACGGCAGCAACCGCAGCGTCCTCTTCACCAACCAGAGAGGCCCTGTTGGTGAGAGACCTTTACAGTGTCTGAAACAAGAGACAGCGCCTCCTAGTGTCAGGACCCTGAGGTCACACATCGAATCTGTGTTTCCCAGGTCTTTCTATTGACTTTGATGAGGAAAAGCTGTACTGGGTCAGCTCAGGGAACGGCACCATCAGCCGCTGCAGACTGGACGGTTCTGGGCTGGAGGTGCTTGAAGGGGCGAAGGGGAAGTTGACCAAAGCTGTGGCTCTCGCCATCATGGGTAAGACTCTGGAAAACAGTCTTTTTTTAACAGTTCTGAGAAAAAACTGTCAGTTTGTCAAAATATATTAGAACAAAGTGTTAAATTAGTGTGTGTGTTTGCATCATACCGTCAATAAGAGCCCAAAGTAGTTTTAAAAATGTTTCTGATTAAACCGCCCGCCCGCTGATCGTTGCTCCCTTCAGGAGATAAGCTGTGGTGGGCTGACCAGGGCACTGATCAGATCGGAACATGTGACAAGAAAGATGGCGGCAACTGGAAAGTCCTGAGGAACAGCATTTCTCCCATGATGCACATGAAGATCTACAATGAAACCGTGCAGACAGGTGCTTTCCTAACTCTCACCTTTTGTATTTTTCTATTTTTTTGTAAAACTCTTTGGGGAAGCACAAGAAGAAAATCCATTTTATCTTCCTGAAGGCCAAATTTGTTGAGTTGTCACCTAAGGCCCATCTGTTGTTGTCCGTGTAGCTCATCTCTGATTTGACCTTGCGCTTTTATTTTTCCAGGCACCAACCTGTGCAGTAATAACAATGGCGACTGCTCCCAGCTGTGCCTCCCCACCTCTCCGAATACCCGAGCGTGCATGTGCACTGCAGGATACAGCCTGCAGAGCGGGCAGCAGTCCTGCGAGGGTACGGCAGATTCATACACAAACCAAATAATCCTGATAAAACGGCAAAAAGATGTGAACTTGCCAGTGCTGTGTTTGCTTTAGGTGTGGGCTCTTTCCTCCTGTATTCGGTGCACGAGGGGATTCGTGGTATCCCTCTGGACCCTTCAGACAAGTCTGATGCCCTGGTACCGGTTTCTGGCACCTCCCTAGCTGTGGGCATAGATTTCCATGCTGGTAAGTTGTCTTAGCTATTTCTATTCATGTATTTATTATTGTGTGTTATTCTTAAGTTTCCTTTCAGTTGAGCTTCTCTTTTCTCTTTTTTTACACAGACAATGACACGATCTACTGGGTGGATATGGGCCTGAGCACCATCAGCAGGGCCAAGAGAGACCAGACGTGGAGAGAAGACGTGGTCACAAACGGTATTGGTCGAGTAGAAGGCATCGCTGTCGACTGGATAGCCGGTGAGAAGCTCCAGAGTTTTTACAATCTTGAGTTATTTGTTATAAAATATGTAAAAACTAATTTTATATTTAACTAAATAAGACACAACACAAGAAACATATGAAATGCTAAACATGCTGTTGTTTTGGTAAATATGTTGTTCTCATTTTGATGCGAGCAGCATATTTTAAATGATTGGACAAGGCAGTCAAAGAAGCATAACCAATTTATTAAAGAGCAAGTCACCCTCAAATCAACTATTTTTTGCTGATAAACTATAAACGAGTGTCTAATTGTGCTGAAGACATGTGTAATCAATAATTTGGCACTTTAGTGCATCTTAGTTAAAATTGTAATATTCTGCCTAAAACTGTCAGTGTTGCGCCCTCTTCATGTAAAAAATCTGCACTGCATTTGAATTTAAATTTGCCAATGCTATTGGCTAAGAGGTACACTGTGAAGTTAGCTAGTACATTATGATGTCATAACGTTGTTGTAAGCCTGTGTGTGTATTTGTTAGTGGCTCCGCCCTCTCAGTCTGCCAGGCGAACAGCATTTGCTACATTTTTCAAACAGGAAGTGGGAGTGGAGTAAGGCTCTGGCAGGGGGTGACTTGCTCTTTAATAATAGATAGAAAAGTAAGTCACATGATCAGATGTTGTATTAGCAGCAAGTGAAGAAGAGTTCTGTAAATAAAGATTACAGTTTTGAAACATAGATTTATACCAACATTATTAGAGGTAATATTAATTTTCAACCTGTTATCAATACAAAAGAAAACAAGGCAGAAATGATTTGTTCCTTTTTTCTTTTGAAAACCGTCATCAGCTCAATGCTGCATCAGCAAAGGCAGGTTAGAGCTCTACTGCGCAAAAAGCAAATTTAATAAACATTCATATTATTGTTGTTTATTTATGGAGCTAATTTCATGCAAGACAGCCTAGGTGGTGCAGAGCAGTCTTCTGTACTCAGACAGCCCTTAGCGCTAAAGAAAAGAGAATGATCCCGCACATATCTTAATAAAACTAGAGTTTAGGTGCTAGAGCAACCATCTTGTTTATTTCAAATCAGAGGATAAAGGTATTTTATTATGTTTTAAATTATGTTCCAGCTGTTTGAAGTGTTGTTGTAGCGTCTGCCTACAGTTTCAGTCAGAATCATCATCAGGAGGTGAAGCGTTCATAACGGGATAACAACAAAAGATTTATCTAAAGGTTAAATCATTGTCCTCTGCCCCAAACAGGAAACATCTACTGGACCGACCAGGGCTTTGACGTCATTGAGGTGGCCCGACTGAACGGTTCCTTTCGTTATGTGGTGATCTCCCAGGGCCTGGACAAGCCTCGCGCCATCGCCGTGCATCCGGAGAAAGGGTGAGACGGAACCACGCTGTGCACTTCTGCTTAGACCCATCCGTGTTTTATCTCCATGAAGTTTCCTCTGAGCTTCGCTGTGCTGGTGTGTGCAGCTACCTGTTCTGGACCGAGTGGGGCCAGTACCCCCGCATCGAACGGTCTCGCCTGGACGGCTCGCAGAGAGCCGTTCTGGTTAACGTCAGTATCAGCTGGCCCAACGGGATCTCTATTGACTATGAGGTAATCAACCCTAACGGACTTCATATCACCAATGTCTGATGCAGGGAGGGAGATCCGCCTCCGAACATCGTCACCCTTCCATGTTTTTCCTGTAGGAGGGTCTGCTTTACTGGTGTGACGCCCGGACAGACAAGATTGAGCGCATTAACCTGGAGACGGGTGAAAACAGGGAGGTGGTGCTGGCCAGCAACAACATGGACATGTTCTCCGTGTCTGTGTTTGAGAACTACATCTACTGGAGCGACAGGTCAGATAAACTCAGCTCAGCTGGTCCAGCGCTGATGTCCTCAGCCTCTGTGGAAAACAGTTTGTGTGTCTGCTGTCTGACAGGACGCATGCTAATGGATCCATTAAGAGAGGCAGCAAGGACAACGCCACTGACTCGGTCTCACTGAGGACCGGCATCGGGGTGCAGCTCAAAGACATCAAGGTTTTCAACAGGGCCAGGCAGCGAGGTGAGCAGCCTGAGAACTTTGCTCTGAGTGGGATGTGTGATGATGCAATGAGATTAAAGATCTGTGGATTTATTGTGACTTATGTGCGTTTGCAGGAACGAATGTGTGCAAAGACAAAAACGGCGGGTGCGAGCAGCTCTGTCTCTACCGAGGCAACGGGCAGCGTACGTGCGCCTGCGCTCACGGCATGCTGGCTGAGGATGCTAGCGGTTGCCGGGACTACGACGGGTACCTCCTCTACTCGGAGCGCACCATCCTCAAGAGCATCCACCTGTCGGACGAGAACAACCTCAACGCGCCCATAAAGCCATTTGAGGATCCCGAGCACATGAAGAACATCATCGCCCTCACGTTTGATTACAGAGGAGGAGGAGGAAGAGGAGCCAACCGCATTTTCTTCAGTGACATCCATTTTGGAAACATCCAGCAGATCAGCGACGACGGATCCGACCGCAAGACTATAGTGGAAAGTGAGTTTTCTCTTTTTTCTTCCCGAGTGAATGTACCGGCAGCCTTTTCCTCCATTTGTTTACTCTGAGCTCCTCTCTCCCAGCTGATCTGAGGCCTGTCGTACGTCAAGTCATTGTTAAAACGAAAAAAAAAAAAAAAAGTAATAGCAGCTTTAAACATCAGGCGCCCTGGTGGGAAATCTTCCTGAAGAAGAAAGCTTCAATATTTTCCACAAAAACCAGGAAGTGCTTATTCTCAAGTTGCTGCTGCGTTTTTAATATCTGTGCTTTGAGAACAGAGAGCACATGAACATAAACAGCTTCATTTCCTTCATCTCAGCCCAACAAAACACAGGTGCAGTGTTAATATTTTACTACCTTTACTTTCATTTGTTTTACAAGGTCCGATTGGTTCCTCCCGTTGTGCCTGTAAAGCTGCAAGTCCCAGAGCAAACCTCGTGATCTTCCTGCGTGATATCCAGAGCGACTGATGGTTGCTATGAGGCGTTCGGTCATGTTTAGGCCGTTTAGTCAGGCAGCAGACAAAGCCACCGTGGTGTTTGCTCTTTGTCCGTCCCTTTTAAAAATCCCCAGGAGATCCTGCCTGAACTTTTGAGACATGAGCACGTAGAGGATGGGGTTTATCACAGTTGAAGTGGTCCCCATGAAGCGTGCGAACACGCTGAAGGCGCCGTAACGAGGCAACGCTCCAGTCGCCCCGGTGCTTTGGTCTGCCAGTAAGGTCAAAGTCAGGCTGTAAGAGGGTAGCCAGCTCAGGGTAAAGGCCAGAACCAACATGGCTGTCGTCTGAGTCACTTTGCTCTGGTAGCGCTCGACTTGAGGGGCCCTACCAGCATGCTGGCTCCTACATAGGAACACGTAGATGCTGCCATACGCCACTGCGATGGTAACCAGCGGAAGCAAGAAGGCCATGAGAAAGTGGAGGAGTCCGTAGATCAGCTGGTCTCTCTGAGACATGAAAGCAAAGCAAGCGAAGCTCTCCGGAGAAGTTTGTGGCGTCCTCACAGTGCGGAATACTAACTGGGGAGCTCCGAGGCAGCAGGCTGGAACCCAGAGCAGCACGGCGAGAGCAGACACCCTGCGAGGGGTGAGCAGCCTGTAAGCTGTGGCCGGTTTCACCACAGTCAGGTAGCGAGTCACAGCCAGTGTAGCCAGAGTAAAGATGCTGGCCGAGGAGCAGGCTGAGCCCAAAAAGCTCACCAGGCGGCACATGGCGTTCCCAAACGGCCACTTCTGCATGGCTATGGCGGCAGTTTGAAAGGGAATGGTGGAGAGCAGGAGCAGGTCGGCGGCGCTCAGCGCCACCAGGAGGATGTCCGTCCCTGCTCCTGTTGGGGAGCTCTGGGATGTTTGTCTGGTCCGCCCCGCCCCTCTCCTCCAGCGTCCACACACGATCACCATCACCATGGTGTGTCCAGTGACTCCCAGCATCAGGATCAGAGTGTCTAGCACCGGGACGAGGACCTGCTCCACACTGGGCGTCCTGGTGGCGCTGCTGTTGTCTGGTGGATCGCCCGTAGAGTTTAGCATCTTGTCTTCAGTCTGAGTCCCTCTGACTCTGTTAAAACCCAGCTGCTGTGTGTTTGAACAGTTCTCCAACCCTGTCATAAAACAGCTGATAATACACACAGGAATGATTACTCGGAAGGCTGTTCGGAGGAATGACACAGCACAGATTTTCAGACATTAATGGCTGCGTTACAAATTATTTAGGAGAGAAGATGATTGTTGATCAGGCATCATCCAATCCAGTAGCTTCCAGACCCTCCCATCAAAAACAAAATGCCTCCAGTTGCTTATGTTCTTCTTTTTGAACTCCTGAGATCAAATGAGAGCTGAGAGTTGTAGTTTGTGATCACCTCAGTCAGACGTGTCAGTCCCCGTTCACCCGTCCCGCTGCCTCCAAGAGAGAAGTCTCCTCCGTGGATCATAACGGGAGCAGAGCAGTGGGCTCAGCAGGTGAATAGCTTGACGGCAGGAGAGGATGAAACCGTGTAAATGGAAGGTGAACTCTGGACCGATTACAGAGATGGGCTGGCCTGCTCTCTGTAGGAGGGCCTAATGAGGCCTGACAAAGCTTTTCCCATGCTTCGCTGTTTCAGATTCTTATCTGAACGGACTGCTGGATGGTCTAGAAGAGCACACGCGTGTACAAAACATGCACAAATACTGAAAGCAAACAAAAAGACTCAGTAAAGTGGCATTTCTCTCCAGACTCTGGGTAATTATTGACCTCCAGCCTGATAGCAAACAGTGAACTACAATCACACCTACTTCAGCTAAGGGCCATAAAATCAGTGGTGGTACAGCCGACGTTAGAAGCTGTAAATCAAGCTCATCTAGGCCGGTGAAGGCAACACAAACTTGGATAGATCAACAACAATATGAAGGTTGCGTGAAAAGGAAGAGTCTGAGTTCTGCAGGTTAATAACTCATTACCAGCGCTGGAGAAGAGGAAATGGAACTGAATGGATTTTACGGTCATCGATTTTTATTGTGCTGTGATTTACGAGCACAGGAAGTCGAGGGAGGTTGGTTTCTTGGTCGTTGCTCAACTTTTAGCAGCTTCAGATTCTCATCACTTCTACATGCTGATTCATGTCTGTGGCGTTGGACTGATGGTGGTGGTGAGAGCTTCCTCGCTGTTCTCTTTGGCCAGAGATGTGACAGACTCAGATCACATCCGCTCCTTTCATTATTAGAGCCTCACAGTTTGACTCCTGAAACAGTAACGAGAAGGTGATGGAGACTTGTTTGTGGAGTGATCCGTCTCTCCCTGAAGCCCACGAGTGCACATATTAAACGTATTGTTTATCAGCAGAAGCCCAGCTGTTCTCTGTCTCCCGCTGGAGAACTTGGTGTTCCTCCATCTTGGCTCCAGCTCATGTATTGTCTGGCCTCCGTGGAAGCAGGAAGCTTCACAACCTTTTTATTCTTTTCAAAGCAGCGGAGCAGAAAAATGACCTGTGCAAATGGAAAGGAATACTCAAGCCGGTGACCTTTTTACTTTGCTATTTGCGGGATGAATGCATGAAATGGCCCACTGTACTTTGCAGTTGCTAGCTGTCCTGTCCACAGCTCCTGCTCCAGTCAGCCAGCGGTCTGTAACCCGACAACCCGCCCTTTACACGTGAAACTGGCACTGATGTTCTTTTTCCTTCTCTTCTCAGATGTGGGCTCTGTGGAGGGTTTGGCATACCACAGGGGCTGGGATATGTTGTACTGGACCAGTTACACCACCTCAACCATCACACGCCACACTGTGGATCAGAACTTCTGGGGGGCCGTTGACCGGAACACCGTGGTCACCATGTCCGGAGATGACCACCCGAGGGCCTTTGTGCTGGACGAGTGTCAGAGGTCAGAAATTATTCCCTTCTTTTTTTTTTCACTAATTCAACACGACTCCTGCTAAAACTCCACTTCACCCTTCAGCTTGATGTTTTGGACCAACTGGAACGAACAGACTCCCAGTATCATGCGTGCCACTCTGAGTGGCTCCAACGTCCTGGTGATCATCGGGACGGACATCAGGACCCCCAACGGCTTGGCCATCGACCACCGCGCGGAGAAACTTTACTTCTCAGACGCAACACTTGATAAGATTGAGCGCTGCGAGTACGATGGCAGTCGGCGACGCGTGAGTGGCATGTCTGCCCCTCTGTCACTGTTTTTATTTGAACTAACCCAACAAAGCTTCACTTAAAGCATCCACGAGGTTGTGAGTTCCTAAACGACGCTGAGTCATGAGTTTGGTTTTGCTCTTCCGCTGCAGGTGGTGTTGAAGAACGAGCCGGTCCATCCGTTCGGCCTGGCCGTGTACGGAGACTACATCTTCTGGACCGACTGGGTCCGGAGGGCCGTGCTTCGGGCCGACAAATACACAGGGGGCGACATGAAGGTGTTGCGGGCCGACATCCCCCAGCAGCCGATGGGTATCGTTGCTGTGGCCAATGACACTAACAACTGTGAGTGACTGATGTTCATCCCCTCACCCGAACTGTGTTACAAAAATGATTTTTGGGGGATTTATTTCTCTGCAGATAAACTACTTGATTGACTTCCTTTGTTTTGTGAGAAGTCATCTTGTATTAACCGAAGCACAAACACAACACATCACCTCTGCTTCACGCTAGACGCATCAGCGCAGCAGAACCGTTTACTAGTGAGTTTTTGCTGGGTGCCAGTACACACTGGGAGAATCTCAGCTTCTCTGCCGTGCTTCTCGCTTGACTCGTAATGCAACAAGTCCCTCAAGACATCAAAGGTCGCGGTTTGTTTATGCCATCCGCTTTTACACCAAAAAGAAGGAAATCACGTTTGATATCGCTGTTTGGTGTCATATATGATGTTCTTTTCTACTGCCAGGATTAAACACCCCTGCACTTCTGGAACAATGCTGGGATAAATAAACCGTTAGGTCACATGTTTTGATGTAATCTACATAGATATGAAATTGCATCGCCGCAATAGTCTTTTATTTAGAAATTTGCAGGAGGTTGTACACTGGAACCGTGTGTGATTTCCTGTCTAACCCTGTGTTAATTGAGGAAATTGACGTGTCCCAGGAGTGGCTCGTTGCAGAGGTGGAACCCAATCCTTTCTGTAGCGGCGCGGCGTGCCATTTCTAGGACGCACCTGAAAATTTCCACGTTGCAACTGGTTTGAATCACCCCATAAAGTATAATGGATTCTATTTGAAGCAGTGATGTTCTGCTGATGCTTCCAGTGTGAAGTGGGGGTTCATTTTAACCTGAGAAATGATTGCACTATCAAAAATACTAAGAATTATTTAGATACTTCCCTTAAATTTGACCCATTTCCTTTTTTGTTTTACTCTCACACCCTTATTTGTTCTTCCATCAATGAAAGCTGTATTTTATTATTTTATTCTGCCTCGTCTTCACCCTCAAATGTCTTCATTCTTTGCATTATTTTGCCCTCCAGTAGTCACAGAAGGTCCTGTCTGAACTGCTTTGTGACCCGTTGATACTGAGTCACAATGAATTATGCATCCAGTTGAAGCAGAGCCAAGTATGGAGGACGATTTGGATGCAGCTGCATCAACATAAATTTATCAAAAGAAAAACACCAAACAGATACACAAGAATCTACAGTTGTCTGAGCAATCAAAGGAATGAAATGCCACCAAATGCAAAGTCATTCTGAACAAACATTAAATGACCAGGAAGTTTTGAAAGCAGATGTCATTAAGCTGTTGCAAAGGCAGGAAGTAGACACATGACCTGTTCTTAAGCCTGTTACATGTGAGGTTTTAGTTTTTGTGCCTAACCGCGTGTTTGCACAGGTGAGTTCTCTCAGTGTCGCGTCAACAACGGAGGATGTCAGGACCTGTGTCTGCTGACCTCCGAGGGAAGGGTGACCTGCAGTTGTCGCGGTGATCGGAATCTTTTGGAAGACAACACCTGCACCGGTATTGCGATGTCCATTTGAAACAAGCCATCTATAGATGATTAGAACATTTTGAGTTTGATGTTTTGGTTTCATTGAGTCGATCATAAGGGCGTTTTTCTCATCCCCAGCCATCAACTCTACGTGCAACAGCATTGATGAGTTTGAGTGTGGAAATGGAGACTGCATCAACTACACGCTGACATGTGACGGCAAGGCCCACTGTAAGGACAAGTCAGATGAGAAGCAGTCGTACTGTGGTGAGTCAGATACTTGTTATTGCCTTTTCTGCTGTCTGATGTTTGAATATTCACTTATTTCGTTTTGATTCCCAGCCAACCGTGTGTGTAAGAAGGGCTACAGACGGTGTGTGAACGGCCGCTGTGTGGCTCACAGATACTGGTGCAACGGGCGGGACGACTGTGGGGACAGCTCTGATGAAGTCTTCTGTAACAGTGAGTGATGTCTACCCAAAACAAGGCTTATTGTAAGACGCCTCATGATGTGTATGTCTATGTGTTTAAAAGTTACAGTTAGGGTAAGTCCATTAGTAAAGTAGGAAAAACCAGGACTTCACACAGAATGTTTCTCACACAAAAGTTCTCTAAAAAACCATGAGCATAAAGATTTTAGTCCTGCAGTGTGAGGTGTGCAGCCACATGACAAAAACTACAAACAAACAGACTTCACACAAAAACATTGTCTGGTCTATCAGGATATCTCACAAGACATTGACTTTGGAGCAAACATGGAGGAAGAGTGTACTGTGTCCTTCCATCACCTCGCTTTCTGATTGGCTAAACATCACATTCAAAAGTAAGCACACTTGTTTGTCCTGAAAATCAATTCAAGACAATCCAACACATTTTTTCCCCCAATTTATGATCACAGCAGTCCTGATGTGCTTCTGAGCAGACCAGCGCGCTCTTAACACTCCACACATGGCAAGAATATCTGATAAGATTATCTTTAGGGCCATGGTAGTCGGTCGCATTCCTAAGATTATTGGAAGGGGAGAATTAAGTTAAGTGAGGCGATCAGTCCTCACTCATTCTGATGCTGTGGTTGTGTCGTTAAGCAAGGCACTTACCCACACTGCCTGCTGCTAGTGGTTGATGGGACCAGTGGCGCCGGTGTACGGTAGCCTTGCTTCTGTCAGTGCACCCCAGGGCAGCTGTGGCTAAAATGTAGCTCATCATCACCAGGGTGTGAATGTGTGTGTGAATGGGTGAATGACTGATTGTGTTGTAAAGCGCCTTGGGGGGTTCTAGGACTCTAGAAGGCGCTATATCTAATACAGGCAATTTTACCAAAGTTGGTGTGATTATCCTGCCATGTGAACCGGTCTAAAGTCAGTAAAGACTCTTATGGATAAGGCAGAGATTTCTTCGTTTACCTTTCTCAGTGGCCTAGTGGTAGAGTGTCCGCCCTGAGACTGGGAGATCAGGGGTTCGACTCCTGGTCGGGTCATACCAAACACTTTGAAAAAGTGGGACCCAATGCCTCCCTGCTTGACACTCCGCATTAAGGGGTTGGGTTGGGGGGTTAAACCACCAAATTGTTCCCGAGCACGGCTTGTCTGCAGCTCACTGCTCCCCCAGGGGATGGGTCAAATGCGGAGAATAAATTTCGCACACACACCTGTGTGTGACAACTAATGGGACTTTAACTTTAACTTTTAAACACTGATGGATCTCACGTGTCTCTCATGTGCATCAGCCACGCTCTGCTCAGCCAATCAGTTCCAGTGCAGAGATGGAGGTTGCATCACCAACTCCAGCAAGTGCAACCAGAAAGTGGACTGTGAGGATGCGAGCGATGAGATGAACTGTCGTAAGTGAAAGCCATCGGAAAGCTTTGCTTTGATCGCAACGCAAACATACGCTCTTTGCTCAGAGGTTTTTCTCTCTTTATCAAGCTGCCACAGACTGTTCGTCCTACTTCCACCTGGGGGTAAAGGGGGTGCTGTTTCAGAAGTGTGAGTTCACCACCCTCTGCTACGCACCTTCCTGGCACTGCGATGGAGCCAACGACTGCGGAGATTTCTCTGATGAAAGAAACTGCTCAGGTATTCCAATTCAGCAATTGATCAGGTTAATTGTGCTATTATTAGAGGTAATTGTCCCAGCATAATTTTACTCCGTCAGCAATCGGGGAATCAAAGTGTGCCTCTCCGTTCTTTGCCTGTCCGAGCGGCCGCTGCATCCCCATGAGTTGGACTTGTGATGAGGAGAACGACTGTGAGAATGGAGCAGATGAAACTCACTGTGGTAAGGAGGGAAACCTGCTGAACCGTGGGTTAATCTTCTATGTGTTTTGTTTTTAAATGTGGCCTCATGTTCCCGATGTTTTTTCTTGTAGATAAAGTGTGCTCAGCATCACAGTTTGAGTGTAGGAACCACCGCTGCATTCCTAGCCGCTGGGTGTGTGACGGGGCGGACGACTGTGGTGACGGCAGCGACGAGGACAACAAGTGCAGTAAGTGTGTTAGAGACAAACTGTGAAAAAGCCATCTTCCATTTCTATGGAAATATCTAATTGTGAGAAGATAAAAAAGGGGCATATTATGAATAACTCATTTTTTACACCCTTTTGGGCTGCCATATGGGTCTCTGCAGCCTCTATAAACACTCCAAATGTGGAAAAAGTGGCCATTCTTTTTCTGTCAGTGTTTGGTTTCAGGAATGATGTCCCTAAAACAAGCTGTTTAGAAATGTCCCTGGTTGTGACATCACAAATGGGTAAATTACAATGAAACTTGCAGCTCCGAGCCCCTCCAGGATATCAGAGCTTCTCAGCTTGTTGAACCTTTGCATGTGACGTCACGCCACTCATGTGACCGCCCCCTTCACCATGATGGACAGCAAAAAGACCGTTTACACCCGTAGAAACTCCAGTGACGCTAGTCAAAACAAGCCAGTTTGTAGCCTTTTATAGCTTTTATTTAGTTGATTTGACAGTAAAATGGTTTTAGCTTGCTGCGTGGTCGGCTGCACTAACAGACAAGGATGTAAACTCAACTCGTTTTCGTTTTAATAACTTTGATGGAGACTGAGGACGGAGATGAACTGCAGCGATCAATCAAGCAGACTAGCAGGTCTCAGATTTGCAGCGAACGTGTTTTTACCGGGTAAGATTAACGTTCATTTATTTCACGAGGAAGACGGGGACAGGGGTAAATGTGATGTCTTTATACAAGTTATTGATAATCCTGATAGACGGGTATTTCACCACGGAGGCTGCGCTCCGTCTACTGTAGTGTAAAGCGAGACGATTATTAACAATATTAAAGCTCCAATGTATGATTACATGAGTTAAAATTACGTTATTTATTTATATGAGCGTCGGCGTTCAGAGATCTTCTCATTCCGGTGTGAGAGCAGCAGCTGAACCCGGTAACACCACCAGCAACAGAAGCTGGTAGGGATCCGGACTTTTTAAAAATCAGCTTTGGTGTAAAGTGAAAAGCTGTTTATAACATAATGTTATAAATCCAGAGGGGTGAATTTAGGCAAAGTCAGCAACATATTTACATCGGTGAACAGCTGCAGAGAGAACGTAAGCTAACGTTGGTAAGCTAGTTAGCATACCGCTCTCTATGAGCCCTGGCTAGATGCGCTACTTCTTCTGATAACTGAACTGGGCATGAACTAGTTGAAGTAATGCTGGAGGAGTTTTGTTTTTGTTTTGATCGCAAAAAACAATTTCAGGCTCTACTTTTCCCTTTGTTTACTACTCATGTCGCTCACTGTTTACATGCTTTTTCCGTCCAGCATGGTGGACCCACGTGATTAGGTGACGTCGGTGCAAAGGGTCAATAGCAGCCTGAGTGGGGGATGGGTGGGTGTGGCAAGCTCTAGTAAGTGACAGAGCCCTGAAACGGCTCATTCTGGAAGGTACTGAAACTGCAAAGAATAAAACTGCTGAAATAATTTTACGTGGAGGACTTTAATGCAAAGACCTTCATGAACATGTTTTTATAGACCGTAGACAATTTTTAAAAATCATTATAGTTCTTTAAACTATTTTTAACTGTATTTTTGCCTTAAGTAACCGGATGTTGAACAAGCTATCTAAACATTTTACAGAGAGTAAAACCTGCAGCCCTGAGGCGTTCCATTGTCCTGGATCCCACGTTTGTATTCCTCAAAACTGGAAGTGCGATGGCGACAAAGACTGTCCTGATGGAGCCGATGAGAGCGTCAAAGTCGGCTGTGGTGCGTTCAAGAGAACACGTTAAAATGTTTTTGATCCCTCTGAGAATCAAAGTAAATTTTCTGACATCACATAAAGAACGGAATGAGATACTGAGCTGATTGTCCCGTGTCTCAGTGTTCAACGACACATGCAGCAGCGATGAGTTCATGTGTCAGGACCGACGGTGTATCCCCCGCCACTTTGTGTGTGACCATGACAGAGACTGCAGCGATGGCTCTGATGAGTCCCAGGAGTGTTGTGAGTGACCTCTTCTCAGATGTCTCTCGTCTGCATTAGTTACACCTACTATTTTAGACCTTTTTTATATCTTACACTGTAGAGTTTTCCGTTTTCCACAGTCTATCCAACATGTGGACCCAACCATTTCCGCTGTGAGAACGGACGCTGTCTCATGCAGAAATCCTGGGAGTGTGATGGAGAGTTCGACTGCCACGATCACTCAGATGAAGCACCAAAAAATCCTCACTGCAACAGCCCAGGTCAGACGTGAGCAACAGTCAACCATGTTTGTCTTTAATCTGAAGCCACTTCTAAATCTCAGGAAGCTGCTGTTCACATGCAAGCTAGCATTAACATCGCAGCACAGCCATCTGTTTCAGGAGGAAAGAAATAGAGCATTTTAGAACTCCTGTGAGCCTTTGCTTCAGAAGTAAGTTGTAAAGTTTTCCTTGTAGTGAGACCGTTTTGACCGGTGACCTGCAAGAATAAGGAATCTTTTCTTACCGTCTTTACTTCCTAAAATTATTTGCACAGAAACAAAAACTAACCAACCCCGAGCTGCGGCTGATTGGGAAAAATTACAGACAGCAAGGGAGTTCCAAAATGTCTCGAAGCATTTGTGAGGGTTCAGATTTTACTTTGCACGAGTCAGAAAGTGCAAAAAAATGTGAGACAGTTCAGAGAGGAGTTGGGTGGGTGACCAATGAAAAAATAAACTGTAACTTACTGCAGACAAAAAGAGATTCTGACCATCTAAGTGTGACAAAGCTGCAAATAACCCGAGAACAAATTGCAAAGAACTTAGAAACTACAAAAAATAGGCAGGAATGTCACAACGTATTCATAATGTAAACAGATTTAAACGTGTGTGCACAGAACCTATTCAGTGTGATTCTAACACAAACTTTCTGCCAACAAACCTTTAGCTCAGTAGTAAAGCTGATCTCTGCCAAATTAATGCATATTTATAAAAACTCTAATAATGTTTTATGAATGTGGTGAGAGGTGCTGTGCTAGTGTTTTTCCTCCTGGAAAAGTGGTCCTAATGAATGCCCAATTAATGGTTTTTAATCTCTATTTCCCAGATTGTTAGGGATTTGGGTTAAAACATTATTAAAGTAAACTGAATTTTGAAAGTTGAAAAGCAAACGTTTAAAATTAGGAGGCTAAAAAAAACGGATTTTGCTACTAATTACATTTTTGTTAATGCATTTTTTCTGCTTGTATTTGTGAATGCAAATAAGATGAGATAACTGCAACAAATTTTGTTTCAGGGTTTTTCTGATTATTGCTATTAGATATCTATCTATCTATCTATCTATCTATCTATCTATCTATCTATCTATCTATCTATCTATCTATCTATCTATCTATCTATCTATCTATCTATCATCTATCTATCTATCTATCTATCTATCTATCTATCTATCTATCTATCTATCTATCTATCTATCTATCTATCATCTATCTATCTATCTATCTATCTATCTATCTATCTATCTATCTATCTATCTATCTATCTATCTATCTATCTATCTATCTATCTATCATCTATCATCTATCTATCTATCATCTATCTATCTATCTATCTATCTATCTATCTATCTATCTATCTATCTATCTATCATCTATCTATCTATCTATCATCTATCTATCTATCTATCTATCTATCTATCTATCTATCTATCTATCTATCTATCTATCTATCTATCTATCTATCTATCTATCTATCTATCTATCTATCTATCTATCTATCATCTATCTATCTATCTATCTATCTATCTATCTATCTATCTATCTATCTATCTATCTATCTATCTATCTATCTATCTATCATCTATCATCTATCTATCTATCATCTATCTATCTATCTATCTATCTATCTATCTATCTATCTATCTATCTATCTATCTATCTATCTATCTATCTATCTATCATCTATCATCTATCTATCTATCTATCTATCTATCTATCTATCTATCTATCTATCATCTATCATCTATCTATCTATCTATCTATCTATCTATCTATCTATCTATCTATCTATCTATCTATCATCTATCTATCTATCTATCTATCATCTATCTATCTATCTATCTATCTATCTATCTATCTATCTATCTATCTATCTATCTATCTATCTATCTATCTATCTATCATCTATCTATCTATCTATCTATCTATCTATCTATCTATCTATCTATCTATCTATCTATCTATCTATCTATCTATCTATCTATCATCTATCTATCTATCTATCTATCTATCTATCTATCTATCTATCTATCTATCTATCTATCTATCTATCTATCTATCTATATATATATATATATATATATATATATATATATACATATATATATATATACTTTTCTAATAAAGATGTAAAACAGGAGGAAGAATACTGCCAAGATAAGATAAGAGACAACCATCTTTATGCAAAAGATGATTATATGCAGTGGCGCCACCAAGGGGTGGCCATGGGTGGCCAGGGCCACCCCTAGAAAATTGCTGGCCACCCCACTGGCTACACCAGAGACCAATGTTCTTTAATGAATCATATTCATGTTCACACACTATGAATTGATATTATTTAATCAAACATAAAAGTAAAACCCAATAAAAATATATACAATTAAAGAGTAAATATATAATCAGATTTTTTAAAGTATTTATGTTTCTCCTGCTCGCCATTTTCAAAACAAAAATTTTAATCTCTAGTTTTTGTGGATGTTTTTGTGAAAAAAGAAAAATAATATTCCAAGTAACAATTTGAAATGTCTTTTTTCTGAAAAACGTGTGTTCTTCAAATTTGAAGTAAGCATGTTGGATGAATTTTGTATTTTAATGAAAAAGAATAAAGGAGCATGCGATGCATCACCACAGGCTAAACTCTCCCAGAGTTACCACGCAGACCAATCTGGTTTACCACCTGCAAAATTTATTTGGCCCCATCCAGTGGTGCCCCCAGATAATTTTCACCCCTAAGAAAATTATCTGGGGGCACCACTGGTTAAATGTACATTTTTGGGGGAACATTTGGGAACATTAAAACATAAAAAACTAGAAAACATTCAATCCTTGTCATTCTGGTGACGGGAAAGTGCAGTTAACAGACCGGAAATAATTCTGAATGTCATCAGCTTGACTTCTTTGTATTTTTTATTTGACTGAACAGAGAATCGGTGCAATGACACTGCGTACACGTGCAATAATGGAAACTGCATCAACGAGACTCTGCTCTGTGACCATAAGGACGACTGTGGAGACGGCTCTGATGAGCTCAACTGTTTTATCAACGAGTGTCTGAACAGCAAACTGAGCGGCTGCTCTCAGCTGTGTGAGGACCTTAAAACAAGCTTTAAGGTAAGAGGAGAACGCTCGCTGAGTCAAATGTGGAAATCGAGCGGCCGGTTGCTTTACCGTTATGTGGCTTTGCTCCCTAACAGTGCAGATGCCACCCTGGCTTCCGTCTCAAAGATGATGGGAAGACATGTGTGGACATAGATGAATGCACAACCACCTACCCGTGCACGCAGCGCTGCATCAACACACACGGCAGCTTCCACTGTCTGTGTGTAGATGGTTTCCAGCTCAGTCCTGAAAACCCAACGATATGCAAATCCGTTTCAGGTAAGACGGAAGATTAATCACAGTCAGCCAAGCTCTCGAGGTCAGCCCATTCATGTTTGATGTCCTCCTGCAGACGAGGAGCCTTTCCTCATCTTCGCTAACCGTTATTACCTGAGGAAGCTCAACTTAGACGGCTCTAACTACACACTGCTCAAACAGGTGAGACCTGTAAATCTCCTTGATGTGCCTGGATGACCTGGAATTTATCCTGCAGGGTGTTATCCTAATCCAGGACTAATGCAGCTTCTGTGCTTTGACAGGGTTTAAACAACGCCGTGGCTCTGGACTTCCACTATCAGGAACAGATGATTTATTGGACAGATGTGAACACGCAGGGCAGCATGATCCGACGGATGCACATCAATGGCAGTAATGTCCAGGTAAGCTCTGCAGCTTCTTTAATAACGCCTGTGTGTGTGTGTGTGTGTGGGTGTGTGTGGGTGTGTGTGTGGTGTGTGTGTGAGTGTGATAAAAACCCATGAAAGATCTATAAATCCTCCTCCGTGACAATTACAAGTTATTTTCTTGCGTTTCTCAGGTTCTTCATCGAACGTTACTTAGCAACCCCGACGGTCTGGCGGTGGACTGGGTGGGAGGAAACCTGTACTGGTGCGATAAGGGACGAGACACCATTGAAGTGTCGAAGCTGAATGGAGCGTACCGAACCGTTCTGGTCAACAACGGTCTGAAGGAACCTCGGGCTATAGCTGTGGACGTACGCTACGGGTCAGCGCCATGATCCAAACCAAAAAAAAAAAAAAAACCACATTAACTAAACTTCACAGATGTTGTTGAGAACATTTTTTCTCATTTAGAAACAATGAAGCTAACTGATGCAGATCGTTCCTGACAGGTACTTGTACTGGTCCGACTGGGGTGACACTCCTCACATTGGGAGGATCGGGATGGACGGTACCAACAGGAGTGTCGTCGTACAAGACAAGCTCACCTGGCCCAACGGACTGACCCTGGACTTTATCAACGACCGCATCTACTGGGCCGACGCTCGGGAGGACTACATCGCCTTCACCAGCATGGACGGAACCAATCGACATACAGGTGACACACAGACGAACATCGCACACACCTGTAAACCCACTTCCCCCTGCTGTTACTAACCTCTGGCTCTGGTCCGTAGTCCTGACTGAGGACATCCCTCACATCTTCGCCATGACGCTGTTCGAGGAGTACATCTACTGGACTGACTGGGAGACAAAGTCCATCAATAGAGCTCATAAGACTTTGGGGACAAACAAGTCCATGCTGATCAGCACCCTGCACAGACCAATGGACATCCACGTGTACCACCCATACCGCCAGCCTGAAGGTCTCAGCTGTCCCTCATAGACCACAAGTCCCAGTCTTCTTACTATCAGCTGGTAACATGTCCCATTTTGTTCCAACAGTGGCAGGCCATCCATGTCAGATAAACAACGGAGGCTGCAGCAATTTGTGTTTGCTCTCACCTGGCGGGGGCTTCAAGTGTGCATGCCCCACTAACTTCTACCTGGGAGCTGATGGGAAGCAGTGCCTGTCCAACTGCACGGCGAGTCAGGTGAGTTTGTGTGAGGCTGTTGCTGCTGCAGGATAATAAATGAAGGCGCAACAAACAATTTCTCTGCTGTATCTTCTAGTTTGTTTGCAAAAATGACAAGTGCATTCCATTTTGGTGGAAGTGCGACACGGAGGACGACTGTGGGGATCGGTCGGATGAGCCTGCTGATTGCCGTGAGTACAGAAGGCAGAAAGGCTGGAATAGTTTTCTCCATCTTGATCTTGTCTTGCTTTTATTTGCTAATGATATTTATTGAGTGTGTGTTTTTCATCGTAGCCGACTTTAAGTGCAAACCGGGTCAGTTCCAGTGTGGCACCGGGATCTGCACCAACCCCGCCTACATCTGTGATGGAGACAACGACTGCCAGGACAACTCGGACGAAGCCAACTGTGGTACCTACGCATCCACAATTAGCCTTTAAATACCTAAAGATCAGTTGGAAGGTGCTTAATGAGTTTATTCATTTATTTCAGATATCCACGTGTGCCTTCCGAGTCAGTTTAAGTGTTCCCATCCTAATCGCTGCATCCCCGGAATCTTCCGTTGCAACGGGCAGGACAACTGCGGAGATGGAGAAGACGAGAAGGACTGCCGTGAGTTATTTCCTCCTTCGGAAAAATAAATCTTCCCTTTTCATAGTTTCGTTAGTTTCATTTGGTGCGGACATAAAAGGGTCAACGTGTGTGTAACTGTTACAGCCGAGGTCACGTGCGCCCCCAACCAGTTCCAGTGTACCATGAGCAAACGCTGCATCCCGCGGGTGTGGGTGTGCGACCGGGACAACGACTGCATGGACGGTTCTGACGAACCCGCCAACTGCAGTAAGAACACGACGACAAACAGGATCCTGTCCAACATGACGTATTGATTCAGATTCTCATGTGTGACCCCTGAAATCCTCACCGCTGCAGCTCAGATGACGTGCAGCATGGACGAGTTCCGCTGTAAGGACTCGGGACGCTGCATCCCGAACCTCTGGAAGTGCGATGGTGAATCAGACTGTGGAGACGACTCAGACGAGCCCAAGGAGGAGTGTGGTAAGGAAGGAGATGACGGAAACTAAAAGAGGAGGATGTTGTTGCTTAACTCTAAAACGTTTATCTCACTGGTCAGATGAGCGGACGTGTGAGCCGTACCAGTTCCGGTGCAAAAACAACCGCTGCGTTCCCGGCCGCTGGCAGTGTGACTACGACAACGACTGTGGGGATAACTCTGATGAGGAGAAGTGTGGTAGGTTCCCTCTGGTCCTCTCTGTCGGCGATCTACGCTGAATGATCACACAGGCGTGAGCGCAGCTCGTTGTGTCGATGATGTTTCTTGATCAGCATGTTTAGCAGATAGTTTAAAATCGATTTATTGGTAATAAATGTTTCACTCTTGTCTGTTTTATTCACTCAGCATCTCGGCTGGTTTAGATTAGATTTCTGTTCACTTATTCAGCTCTGTGGACATTTGCACATCTCACATCATCTCATGTCTGTTTTGCATTTCACACTGGCCCGATGCTGTGAGCCAGAGGTAGGTGTCGTCACGGTCTCAGATCAGTCACCACCTTAACTACCCGGTCTTTGTGTTTGCCCTGGCTTCTTGTTTTATTTTAGGACCTTTTTCCCCTTTAAAACAAACAACCAGCTCATCTCTTCCACCTTATAGCACCACCACCTCTGTCATATGAACTATCAGCTCCTTTCTTTTTCCAGTCTGCTCTAATCCAGTCTTCGCCTTTCCTTAAAGCCTTTCCTTGTTCCTCCCCTCTAATCTTTGGTTCTTTCTCCACAATCCTGCCCTGATTCTTCTAAGCCCGTTCCTTTCTGTCCTCAGTGCCTCGACAGTGTTCAGAGAGCGAGTTCGCATGCACAAACGGCCGCTGCATCGCCGGGCGCTGGAAGTGTGACGGCGACCACGACTGTGCTGATGGCTCCGATGAGGTATCGCCGTCAGCTTGCAACACTAGACTAAAACCCACCAAAGAGGTGCTAATGAGGTCTCTGTTTGGTTTTGTTCAGATTGGTTGTGATGTGAAGTGTGACAGCGACCAGTTCCAGTGTAAAAACGGTCACTGCATCACCATCCGCTGGCGCTGCGACGCAGACGTTGACTGCATGGATGGCAGTGATGAGGAGAGATGTGACACAGGTGGGATGCTATTCCTTCCTCCTGCAGGTTCTCTTAAATCTTACCTTGCAGCTGTTCATTTCTCTCCTTGTGGCGTTCCAGTAAGCAGACACTGCCCCCAGCACGAGTTCCAGTGTAACAACTCCCTCTGCAAACCTCTCCACTGGACGTGTGACGGCGAGGACGACTGTGGAGACAACTCTGACGAGAGCCCAGAGCTGTGTGGTGAGATTCCTAATGCTTCACATATAATCCTCACTTTTAGTCTTTTGTCTCCCTAATGTGTCTCTCGTTTCGTCCTGTAGTGAATTTCCAGTGTCCACCCACGAGACAGTTCCGCTGTCACAACGACAGGGTGTGTCTGCCGGTGTCAAAGCGCTGCGACGGGGTGGACAACTGTGGGGACAACAGCGATGAGCTCCTCTGTCGTAAGTGTAACAAACAGACCGAGGAATGGCTTACCAACTCCGCTGCAATGTTGCATCGATGTTACAATTATTGCACAAGCATTGCACAAGTGTCACAAACACACAAAGCGGTGGTTGGAGGGAATTTCATCACATGGAGAGCGGAGTAAAAAAATGTTTGGGATCCATGTTTTTTTGTCCAGCAACGTCTCCTTTAACGCCAACGTGTCAGAAGAACGAATCTCGGTGCTCTAACGGTCGCTGCATCAGCACCGATCTCTTCTGTGACCACTTCAACGACTGCGAGGACTACGGCTCTGACGAGATCAGCTGCAGTAGGAAAGGTGTGCTGCACCACACTTTTACCACATTGTTCAGTGTGCAGAGTGGTTAGGATAACAGCGAGCTGATTGGTTCATCTGCCTCAGGACCAAACCAGTGCAGCAGTAACGTGACGATGTGTGGGGATGAAGACAAAGCTCACTGCGTCATCAACGGCACCGTCTCCTTCTGCTCTTGCAAACCCGGCTTCATGGCCAAGGGACAGAAAACGTGTGAAGGTAGAGCCTGCCTCTCTGGACTGACTTTGGTATTTTTCTCTGTTGAACCTTTTTGGTTGCAGAGCACTCTAACGTGTGAAACTGTGTGCCAAAAGAATCACGTGGCCTTCAAATGTTTCAGATAAGAACGAGTGTAAACAGTTTGGAGTGTGTTCCCACATCTGCAACAACACAAAGGGTTCCTACAAGTGCAGCTGCCAAAAGTATTTCAGCAGAATAAATAACACCTGCAAGGCTGATGGTGAGCATTAGTGAGCTTTTTGTTCACGTTTGAATGTGATTGTCAAAACGTCATCACGTAGCTCTATTTGAATCATATCTGGGTTTGATTGGGGATTAAGTACCCTTTTTTATGCATAACTTGATTCAGAAATCCAGTTATAACCAGGAATATTGTTGGTGGGAATGCTAACTACTCCCATTTCCTGTCTTTCCTCATCATTCCCTGTCCAGCTCAGGGACACGCGCTGTACATCGGTGATGACAATGAGATCCGCAGCCTGGACCCTTTCTTGCCAAACTGGCGCTACGAGCAGGTCTTCCAGGGTGATGCCAACATGCGCATTGACGCCATGGACCTGCACGTGAAAACCAATCGCCTTTACTGGACCAACTGGCACACCGGGCATATTTCCTCCTACGACTTGCTTTTTTCGTCATCGTCTTCCTCCCAAAACTCTAACCGTAACGGACGGCAGGGCGTCTCCCGGGTCGTCAACCTTGAGGTAATTTTGAATTTTTTTTCACTCTTCTTGTTCATGCAATAGAATAAAAGCTAGACGCTTAAAGAGTTTGTCGTTTCTTTGTTCAGATCCCAGATCTGAAGATGCCTAGAGGCATCGCTGTGGACTGGGTGGCTGGGAACCTGTACTGGACCGATTCTGGCAGAGATGTCATTGAGGTGGCACAGATAAGTGGCGGCCGCCATCGCAAAACCCTGATCTCTGGCATGATCGATGAGCCCTATGCTATTGTAGTGGACCCCCAAAGAGGGTGAGTGGGAAGCAGGAAGGTGTAGAAACCAGTATGTCATAAAGAGCCATGACAGATTAAGAATCCACTCCTAATTCTTTAGGAAAATGTACTGGGCGGACTGGGGCAACCACCCTAAGATCGAAACAGCTGCTATGGACGGAACCATGAGAGAGATGCTAGTCGAAGAAAACATCCAGTGGCCAACAGGTGAAACACACACCAGCACATACAGATGTCATCAGTCGACCCTGTCCCTAACCCCGATCTGGCTGCCTAGGTCTGGCTGTGGACTACTTTAACGAGCGTCTTTACTGGGCCGACGCCAAGCTGTCCCTGATCTGCAGCGTGAAGCTGGACGGCAGTGATGCAGTCGTTGCTGTTAACACCTTGAAAAACAGTTGAGTAGCTTCTAACCACAGTTGTGTTATAATCTACGTAAATAATCTAGTATTCACTCGTCTTTCTTGTCTTTTTGTTTCCACGCAGAGCTCCTTCACCCGTTCAGCATCGATATCTTTGAGGACACCATCTACGGCGTTACCTACTTGAACAACTACGTCTTCAGAGTGGATAAGTTCGGTAGAGGTCCGGTTGAGAACCTGGCGACTGGAATGAACCACGCCACGGACCTGGTTTTACACCATCGATATAAACAACCTGATGGTGAGCAGAGGAAACAAAAAGAAGCTCAGAGAGAGGAGAGGTCCTTGTTTCCTCACACTCTCCGTCTTTGCTCCCCTCTAGTGACTAATCCCTGCGACAGGAAGAAGTGCGAGTGGCTCTGTCTGCTCAGCCCCAGCGGACCCGTCTGTACCTGTCCCAATGGACGCACGCTGGACAACGGCACTTGCGTGGAGCTGCCTCCTCCCACCTTGTCCCCCATCTGTGAGTCAAACAATCAGACAATTGACTCAAGTGCAAAACACACTTCCCACCACTCTGCACATTAAAACTGCTGTTTTCATTAGCCTGCTGTTGTCCGATACTGGGATTCTCTGTCCAATCCCTATTTACCCACTGACTGTTGCGCATACCAGCTCATGTGAACTTCTGGGTAATTTTACCCAGAGCCGTGTCCAGGTTTTTTAAAATGGGGTGGCCCATGTGGGGCACTTGTTTATGCATGGGTGGCACCAATGGTTGTGCTTATTTATTTATTTATTTACACAAATCGTTTATTTATTTATTTACTTTATAGTGATTGTTGGAGTTTCACATTGCACAATCACCATTTTTTTCTATTCATCTTCTAGTTTTGTGGTGGTTAGCAAGTCACTTCTTGTTGCATTATTGCCACCAACTGGAGTTGAGTGGGACTCTAAATATTATTTATGTGAATATGAAAAAATAATAAATAATATTAATACTACAGAAATGTTCTGTAGGCCTGGGCTAGAAGACAATGTCAAAGGTGCATGCTACTACACACTATTTTTGGAGTTTACAACTCAAGCCTTTTGTTGACAATGTAAAGTCAATTTAAACTGGAACTTAGTAGGGTGGCCAATCAGATTCTAAGGGTGGCATGTGCTACCCCAGGCCACTCCCTGGACACGCCCCTGATTTTACCAGACCTTTGCAGCATGTGCAAGCCTCTGATTGACTGAAAAGACCACTTTTCAGGGACCAACCGAGAACCTGAACTGGGATTGAACACTGTACAGAGATGCATGTTTCTTCACTTTGCTTTAGACAATAACATTTTAATTCTTTGAATCTCAGACGCCGCAATAAAACAACCTTTATCACCTGCAGCTCCTCCCAGTGGTACCTGCTTCCTCCAGTGTCTGAACGGGGGCAGCTGCTTCCTAAACGCACGCAAACAACCAAAGTGTCGCTGCCAGCCAAATTACAGAGGAGATCGATGTGAGACTGATCAGTGCAAAGACTACTGCAGGAACGGAGGGATCTGCACTCCTTCTCCTACAGGTAACACACACTATTAACTCTGGATTCATTCAATCTTAAATCCATCCTCTCCTCTCAGTCCTCTTACGTTAGCTACTACATCTGTCTTTGGTGTTTTATAATAACAAATATGTAAAAAAATAAATAAAATAAATTACTCCATTATGTAAAATGCTTTAGTAATTCCTTATATAGATCTCCATCATGCTCCTGCAGTGTTTACCAATAAAATGTGTTTAAAGAATTTCTGCAGAGGAGAATAACAACCTGACTGGCAGAAGAACAGTAAATCATACCACTGAGCAGATCGGATGAACACTGCCACCCACTGGTCTCGTGTGTCATCTGCATGCATATAATGGATGTAACTCTCTCAAATCTAATGCATTTCACTGATTAGGTTACCTGGTTTATGAAGTTAACACTTTTTCATGCATGCTAACATCTTTCATGGCAACGTTCGGACCTATCATGCTCTTAATGAGTTAATTGAGGAGCTAAACCCTCTTTGTAGTTGGACCAGTTTGTCACCAGCTGTTTTACACCACTGATTTCACACTAAAGGGGTCGTGGCCGCATGAAGTGAACTCCTGTTTGCTCCTAGGTGTAATATCTACGCATGAATGTGTGAATGTGAAATACATTTTAAAGCTGTTTTGAGACGTTACTTAAGATTAAAAAGATTATTTATAAATGCTGGACTAGTCACAACCAAACCCTAAAGTAAACGTCGCTTTTTTATTTTACTCTGAAAGGCAAATGATCGTGTTTCATGAGAAGAAAACCTTGATGTCTTTAAAAGCATAGATCTATTTAGTTTTCTCCAGAAGTGTAGCCTGCTCTCTGCCTTTTTCAATGCAGTAAATAAAAGCAGAACCTTTAACGTAAACTCTTGTGTCTGAAATCAAATCCCCTTCGTGTGTTTGTCCCCCACAGGCTCTCCTACCTGTCGATGCCTGACGGGCTTCACCGGTCCAAACTGTAACCTGCACACCTGTAAGGATTACTGCAAGAACAGAGGCAACTGCACTGTGAGTGCTGGAAACCAGCCGACGTGTCGATGCCCTCCGGACTTCCTCGGGGACAAGTGCCAGTACCGTGAGTGTTGTTCTGTTTAGCAGGTTTAAAAGTGTCCCTCTGCTTTTACTTTGCTCGATAATAAATGTAATTGTCTGTTATAAACACAGATGTGTCTGATGAGTGGTGTATTTATATTTGTGTGTGTGAGCAGGAAGCTGTGAAGGCCACTGCCTGAATGGCGGCACGTGTCTTCAGAGTGAAAACGACTCTAAGTCGTGCCGCTGTCTGCCTCAGTTCAGCGGTGCCACGTGTGAGATCGACAGGTGTCACTACTGTCGGGACGGCGAATGCATCCCCAGCAACGGTTTCTCATCTACGGGGGAGTTCAAATGCCGGTGAGAGTCTCTTAGCAATCACATAGCGGGCTAAATATGAGTAAAGTTCCTTTATAGCTTCTCATGGGTTACTTCCTGTTTTCTAAAGCTGCAAAAATGGCAGAATCCAGCCCAGCTGTTACACATGTGATACAAACGAGTACTGTGCTAACGGGCAGTGCTCTATCAGCCCCATTACTCACCTTCCAGAGTGCAGGTGAGGGGTGGAGTTTATTCATGAGTCTTATTTTCTCCTTCGTGTTTTGCTTAATAATGGCGTGTGTTTGTGCAGATGCTCCCCGGGCTGGACGGGGTACCGCTGTGAGTCTGTGTCCATCAGCGATGAAAGCTCGGCTTCTAGTGGACGTAAGTATAAGATCTAAACAGCTGTTTGCCCTGTCATCTGGCTGCTTTAGCCTAACTACGATCATGTGTTCAAGCACAGCTACCATTGTGATCACCGTGTTGATCCTGGTGATCCTGGTTCTCCTCGCCGTGGGGGCTATGTGGTGGTACAGGAGAAGAATGAGAGGGTGAGTAACACCGAGGAGCCGTAAAAACCTCCCTATGTTGTTGTGCTCCCCCTCCTACCTTTGCTTTTACTCCCCTTCCTGTAATGGCATCTCTTTTACTCCTCAGGTCTAGCCGGCCCGGAAAAACCGGCTCCAAACGCTTGCGGTAATGGTTGCCAGGGTTACACGTTTTCCTCCGTGCCTTTCCTCAGTTTTTGCATTCTGATGTTCTCTCTTCTCTCGAGTCACGAGTCTTGGTTGCTTTTGTGCGGTGTTTGGCCCTGTTGTTGTTGTCCTTCTTCAGAGCAGGTCCAGGACGGATCTATTCAACGACACAGTGAATAGATCAGTCTGGGGGCTTTAGTGCTTTCATATTTTTGTCCATTACGTTGTGCCGTACTGTCCTGTGCTTTAGTCTTCCAGTGGGAGATGGAGGTGATTTTTCCAAGCTGTTGGGAAAATTCAACTTAAAACAGTAAAACTCCACTGGTAATGCATTTACAGTGGAACTTATAGGACCTGTAAAAACCCAAGAGTTACACTACTGTGCAAAAGTTTTGAGTCGTGCTTCATTCCTTTATACTTTCCTTCAAAGAAGCCTGACTTTCCTGTATAACCATATTGTGTTATGTGTGTTTAAGCATAAGGAAACTGGAAGTGTGAAGGACTAAACATCTAAAACATTGGAATAATTATCTGAAAGTTGAGTTTTTAAGGAACTGGAACAAATCCAGCAAAAACATGGTTATTGATTTTTTTTTTTTTAGAGAATTACCACATTGGTGCTAGAATCTTAATAGGGGTGTTACGGCACGGGCCAAAGGCACGCCAAGTTCAGATAACAGAGGTGTGACCAAGTCACTGCTTTGCAAGTCACAAGTCTTTCCAGTCAAGCCTCGAGTCAAGTCAATGACAACCAAGTCCAAGTCGAGTCCAAAGTCAATGATGTGGAAGTCCAAGTCAAGTCCAAGTCCTTAACTTTTAATTTTCAAGTCATCTGTCCAACTTCAATTTAATAACGATGATAATGAATAAATTCCAGAAATAAAGCTTCTTGAAGCTAAATTTATTTGCTCAAACAAGTAGAAAGTGCAACTGAAACTGATTACAAACTAAGTGCTGCTGCATTTAGCAGTAAATCAAACCCAGACCCAAGAATGATTTGTCCAGGTCAGGCCACTTTTGTGCTAAAATTTCAAATATGCTCAAATCGTCATCAAGTCAACAGATGCAAGTCGATTCAAGTCGCAAGTCATTGGCGTTCAAGTCCGAGTCAAGTCGTAAGTCTTTATAGATTTTATCAAGTCAAGTCAGAAGTCATTAAAATAATGACTCGAGTCCAAGCCATGTGACTCGAGTCCACACCTCTGTCAGATAATTAATATATGCCTATGGTTCTCACTCAGAACTGACTGCATTGTACTTTAGCCACCAACACAAGCAGCAGGTCTTCAAAGATCCCAGCCTGGAAGTTTACGCGAAAAAATCTTTTCCACTTTGTACCCTCACCATAACAAAAACGAATCAAACCATGACATTAAAACTAAAGTGCATCCGAAACGGGATTTTACAACCCTATTCCATGTGTCAAACAGTTATATTTGGTATTTTCATATATTTAAACGAAAGAAACTGGAACAAATTAAGTCTTTGATAGCCAAAAATCCTAATTTAAAATGGGCTCACGTCTTTCACACTGAATGAGACACAGATAAGGTTCAGTTCTACGGCTTACGCATCGATCAAAAATCACTGAGTCCATTCAGAGCATTCACACTGGCCACAATGCGGCGCTACAGAAAGTTTCTGCATGAAGTCTTTTTTTCTGGAAATCACATGCAGATGTTGTGAAGTTGAAGAGATTACATGAGCCAGACAGGAAGTGAGACGTGTTACAGTGAGGTGCATTTAGTGTATTTCAAAATAAAATCTGTCACACTATTTCTGCCAGGTTTCGTTATGTTGTTAATGACTGGGTTATCAGTTTACAGTGTATGATAGTTTATTTTTACAGCTATATGTTTAAATATGTGTTTTCAAATCCTTGATCATGTGGTGCTCTTGTAGGAGAAGATATCTGGAGACGTTCAGCACACGAACAGCATTCGGTGTGAATGGCTTTTCGTCTGGAAACCCTACAGAAATCGGATTATATCCGTCCTGCACTCGGTGTGAAAGATTTATTCGTTGTTTTCCACTTTTTAAATATCCAAATCATTCAATAAACCAACAAAAATAAACAATTGTCTGAAAATGGTCAACTGAAATAACACTTAGTAAAAATGCAAAGTCCGCTACAACCTGAAGGAATTATTTCTCAAGAGTTTAAGAACGTTTGCTGTTTGGGAAAACAATGAAATGGACTCAAGACTTTTACACAGTCTTTTAGGTCCCGGCTCGTTAAGTCTGGACCTCGGCTACATGAATGCTGGTTTCGTGTTGGTGTCTGTCGTGGCTCAGCCTGGATGATGGTCTAAGTCCTGCAACTTGTTCTTCCCTCCATATTCAGTAGCTGCTTGCCTGCTTCCGCCGTCCAGGCTCCTCTGGTGCTCAGTTATACGAGAAGACGTGACTGTATGTTTTTTATCGTGTGTAGGGCCAAGGGCTTCCAGCACCAAAGGATGACCAACGGGGCCATGAACGTGGAGATCGGGAACCCAGCGTACAAGGTCTACGAGGGCGAACCCGATGATGACGCAGGGGAGCTGCTGGACACAGACTTCACTTTGGACCCAGACAAGGTAGACAGAAATATCAGACATTAACTCAAAACAGCAATCACTTCCCTTACTAATGGATTACTCTTCATTGCTTTTTTTTAGCCCACCAACTTCACAAACCCCGTATACGCCACTCTATACATGGGAGCTCACAACAGCCGCAACTCTCTGGCTAGCACAGACGAGAAGAAGGAGCTGCTATCGCGTGGAGATGAGGAGCCCCTCGTGGACCCTCTGGCATAGACTGTCCATTAACTGGATCATAATAATCCAAAACACTCCCCTCCTCTTGCCTTTTAAAGAAAAACTACAAAATTATCAACAAAAAGCGTGAGACAAATTGCTTAAGTGTGAACACTGTATAAAATGTAAAAATGAAGGACTACTTTTGTATGTGATTGCAGTATTATATTTTGTTCGCTAGAGATTCCTCTGGTCAAAAACAAACATTTTCTATGAGAGATTTTTAATTTACACTTTTTCCCTTACCCTTTACCCAAATAGCCACTACCTCTGTAAAAACGATGACGGTGATGACATGGAAACCAGAGAATCAACAGGAAAAAAAAAGCTATAATTCGAGCAATTTTGATTTTTTTATTTTTGTATGAATTGTACAGATGAGCAATCGAACACTGTTCCATTTCACCAGTGCCAACTGTTTGTTTTGTGTCAACTTTGAGCGGAAACAGCTCCGTTTTCTAGAATCGGTACCTAGAGTCCGTCGTCCTGCTTCGTTGCTCGGCGAGACCGTGTAAAACAGATTTGCGATTATTTGTGTATAGCACTCGTAAAAAAACTAAGAGAAAATGTCGATAACCAGACGGCAACTTCATAATTTTCCAAAATTAAGTTCTCAGAGAACAATGTTGAAAAAAGATGATTGTGTTGTCTTCCTTGCACAGAATCTCACACTTTACAGTATTATGTGTACAGTGGGCTTTTTTACCGCTAGATGTAAAGAAGATCTGATTGTTTTTTTTTCCTTATTTTAAAGCTTGTGTGTAGCTGTTTGAGGACGTGTGTTGATGTGATTGTGCAGTGGGAGAATGGGTTCAACACTCCATAGAGGAAGACCCACAGCTGGATGATGAAGGTGTCACGTCTAATTGTTACCAAGGTCTTCATCCAGAAGAAAATGGCTGTCGTGGTCAGGATTGAGATTGTCGCCTTTTTTTTTTTACCGGATGAAGTCCATCTGGTTTTGCGAGTTAACAAATCTCTTTGCCTTTAGAAAATCAACGTCTGTATCTTCACCATCTGTAACGCCTCAGTCTGAAGTGCATTATGTTAAATTTGTCTTTAGCAGTTCTCTTCTGTGCCCTGCTACTGCTAACGCTACCATTCAGCCTGTCCCCTAAATGCTGCTTTTGTCAGAAACACACATTAGCCATATCGTACTGCATGTGTAACACCAGCCTTCAGTGTAACAAGGGTTTATTTAGCCTTCCTGTCCAGTGTTGGTTTTGTCTTAAATTAAACAAGTACAATCATTTGACCTTTTTTGTTTGCTGAATCCTCCATGCATTTCCAGGATTTCCTTTCAATTAGTCATTTTATTTTTTTAAATGAAAAAAAAAAGACATAGCTTTTCTAGTGCATAATGCATGGAGACTCAGACTTTCTTCTGGAAAGAGAATAATGTTTAATTTTTGCTGGAGTACTTTACAAACACAATAACTGATATTGTCATAAATAAAACATTTTTAAAGTTGTACAGACAACCAGCTGCGGTTTATTTATTTTATCTTAACTGTGCTCATGAAGTTAAGAATGTCAAAAGAGTCAAAGTTGGGAGATTTAAATCAGTTATTGTGGAAAGAATTGCTCCATATAAAACTGAAATGCATGTATATAAAAATTTTGACCATTTGTTAAGCTATAAAGAGAAAAGTCAATCGTAAATATTTGCTAAAACACCTTAGCATAAAGCTTTTGATTTCTCAGTGGCAAATAAACCCAACAACATAAAGTTACAGATAATTTCTCCTGAGAGGTGAGTACAAACTGATTTCCTCTCAAAACAACTCTTACCTAAATAATCAGAGTATTTTATAAACATTTACAACTCTAGAAATGTGACACCACATTTATTCTGGTTTCAGCATTTGGGTGTTCCTGCAGGAAGTGACCCAGAAGACAAAGGAGGCACTACAGCTACAAAATTAAACTGCAGTAATCAACTTTGGTCTTAATCCAACTCAAATTAGCCTTTAGCTCATCAATTCTATTGGAACCAATCTCCACGTCTCCCAACTGAGGTGGCTCAAGTAAAATAATTTTTAACCTATCCTCAGAAAACAGTTGTAATAATTCTACTATCTCCTTAAAAATCACAAATGAAAAATAAAAAGACATACTTTTTAATGATTTACATGTTTTTATATATTTATATCTTGAACTTCACTTGATGCCTTTAGCCTTCAGCTCCTCCTTGACTCTGCCCAGATAGTTTGGGTCAGGATACCCGAAGCTGTAAAAGTACAACATGTAAAAGGATTTATAAATTAAAATGTTTAGGCAGAATGTGGAAAAAAAGATTGAAATGAATCCAACTACAATACTGTACCGCTGTGGTCCTCCTGATTGAGATGTCTTGTGGTGAATGTCATTCCAGGTCACCGTGTCGTCCATCCCAGTCGTTCTAGATGACCCAACAGTAAAAATCAGCTTCTGGTCAAAAGCTTTTGTCAGCAGTTTCAGTACTTCTCTGCCCTCGTTGTTGTCTGGTAGATATGCATTTCTGATAGTTCCATAATAAGGCCGTCCAGGATTGGGATGTTTTTCCTGCCAGACAGGATCAATAACATTTAACTAGAATTCATAATAAACTGATAAATACATGATAATTTGAGTTGAAACATTTACCGTTTGTATTCCATCTGGGATGCTGTAGGAGATGAGGATGTGACCACAGTCTGAGAATCCAGGAAGTGGTGTGAGACAGGTCTTCGACATCATCTTCCCACTTGGCTGGTTTCCCTCCATCACACCAAACACATCTTTACATAATGGACATATGGGGCCATTGCACTTCTGTGCTTGTTGCAGACATTCTTCACAGAAATCATGTTTACACTTGAGTTGTTTCTTGTTTTTAAATGAATCCAGACATATTGGACATCTTTCCTCTTCCCCATCTCCCCCTGTTGCTCCTCCTGCTGTTGGAGCATCAGAATTTTTCAGTGATCCATTTGACTCAGAATCATTAGAGGCCCCCTCTGACCAGCCCTCACTGCTCCTGGTCTTCAGTGAGCTACCTAAAAGTTGGGCGAGGCCCTGGGGTAATGTGATAATCTTCTGGTACAGATACATAAGAGCTCTGACAGCGTGGCTCTCCATGGCAACGTCTCCTCCAGGTCGTTTGTAGACAGCTTTGACCTTAACCAGGTTTTGACTCATGCTGGATTCGCTGAAATCCACATTAAACTTAGTTTTAATTTCTCCAACTTGATCAGCAAAAGAACTGCTCATCTGCTTCCAGCAGTGGTCACCCATGATTAACCCATCATCAGCAAGAGGGTCTTTGATGGTCATTTTGACCTTCAGTACTGTGGATTGAGGTTCTGGATCAAACCTTTCTGAAGGCTCGTTTGCTTTTGGGGTGTAATTTAAGGTCTCACATAGAGCAATCTGACTCCGACTGGGCCCATATGCAGTCATCTCTTCAGAGGTCATTGTAACTAAAAGCTTCTTCTCCTTCTTGATGATCTTCACAGCATCAGCCCACTGATCTGAATCTACAAACTTGAGAGGAACAACTAGACTGCGTGACTCTGACAAGTACTTTTGGACAAGATCTGTGAATTCATTCATAGCTTTATCTGGTGTTCCCTCTTCATTTGTAGCTTGAAATTTTACAGTGAAATTGGGCATGAATGTGCCTTTATTTTGTTTCTCTATATGTCTTAGTTCCTCCTTATAGTTCTGGCTGATGTACCAGAAATGATGAAATGAGAGCACACTCTGCTCAGAGTGACTTTTACCATCAGCAGAACAGGATCCTCCTGCAGAATCAGGATAATTCTGTTCTTTGTTCCGTGTTTGCTCCTTTTCCTGGATAAAAGAACAACATGTAAGCTTTGTAATAACATACATTATTATTATTATTATCATTATTATTATTAATTGTATTTATTTATGTTCTAGAGCTTACAAGGGACTTATTTGCCACAGGAGAAGATGGAGGAGTAGAGGAAGGAGGAAGAGATGGAGGAGTATAGGGAGGAGGCTTCACTGGAACATCATCTGGTGTTTGTGTTTCCAGATTCGGTATTCCCAGGATGACTGACTTTACTGTGGCTACTTCCTTCTTTTTATTCGTGGTCAGTGTTTCATCATGTAGTTTCTGAAGAACATTCCCAGCTTAAAAAATGAAAAACAATAATCAGTCTTCGAAATGTCTCAAAAGCATTAATAAGAAGAAAGTGGCCAAAAAGAATATTTTAAAGCATTTTTATGAGGCTTTAACCAAATGGTCAAAATGTAAACTTGTAACACATCATAGTTATAATACAGTTATAACTCACGTGGAGATGGTTTAATCTTTATTACAACGGACTTCAAGTCTTTTGAGGTTGTTTCAGTTGAGCAGTTCACCATAAGCTTTTTTTTGTTGAACCAAGATTGAAGAGCTTTCTCTAGATCTGTCTTTTTATTTTTAGGAGGTTGATCAGGGTCAGACCATTTTAATGACAGAGTTAGTTGAACTTCTTCTTCATCATGTGATGGAGACTTCTCACCCTGGAAAACGAAACAGACTCATGTATAAATAGCTGTGTGAGATATCCCAAAAAAGCAAGACTTCCTGTGATAAAACAGTAGATATTTGCACAGAGCTACCTACCTACACCATATTTTACATATCTAATGCCACATACACATTTAACTTTCACAGAGATGTGTTTCGGTGTATTTTTGTATCAAGTGTTTGATCTGGTGTTCTTCCTCCCTCTCTTACTCTCCAGGGACCTTGTGTGTGAACTTAAAAGTCAAGCCAAACTTTATTTATACAGCAAATAAAAAAACAACAAAGCTGAACCAAAGTGCTTAACAGATAAATTAATACTAAAAAGATGTTAGAAATAAGGAAATATAGATAACAGCAGCACCATTGAACCATAACAGTAAAGCCTAATTTATACTTCTCCGTCAGCTCCGCAAGGGAGAGACGCACACGCATTGATGGAGACATTTTACCTTTGGACTTCTCCGTCTCCTGGGAGTGTTGTGAAGCAATTCCTCATCAGGACATCAGAGGGCGTAGCTCTATTCTGGGGTACCATTACAGTGACGTATCTGGTTCATGATAGTGGATTTTCTATTGTGTCGACATTGTTTTAATGTATTTCAGAGACTTTTTAACACAGACTAATTTGTCCCTAATTTTCTATTCTCCTCCACCTCTTCCTGCGATCGGCATCTCTAAACCCACATTTCTCGTCATTTCCGTTGTAGCGTCATGAATGTCCTGTTTTGAACGACCCTGTTTGACTGACAAAGCTAACCGTAAACCAGCCTCCTTAGCATCATAAGTGTACTCTTTGAATTGCAGCTTCCAGCTGGTTGTAATCATTTGCAATCGCATTAAGCTGGCGATCGATGAACGAACCCACGGCATCTGAGGTTAACCTTATCAAAAAGATCTTGTCCTCCAAGGTCATCCCCGGACATCTCTGAAAGTGATGCCGGAGGTCACTCAGGTACGTGCCAACCGGGTATGAATTACCTGGTCGAGGGTTGAATCTCTTGACACTACGGGACATCCTGTAGATGTCAGCCATAGACACAGGTGAGTTCGATTGGGCTTGCTGGAAAGCTGGCACAACCATCGCAGCAGCACTGGCAGGTGCAGCAGGAGGGTATTGCTGTGCAGCCAGAAGGTGTGGCTGGGCTGCAGGCACATATGGATGCGCTGCAGGTGGGAATTGATAAGCTTGAGGTGGATATTGATTATGCTCATACACAGATGCTGACCACTTGCCTGTCCAACTACGGTCGGGATTTGAGCACCTCGATCGATAGCCTCCTCATGGGGAGGATCCCTCCGTACCTCGTGTCCCTGGCCATGGTCCGGTCTGCAATCGCTCGAGTGACATCGAAGGACCCGATGGCCCTTCAGACTCACTTGGCTTTCTCATTGGGCAGTGCTATCCCATTAAGTGGTAATTCAGATGCTAGAGAGCTAGCTTTCATCATCAACTTACCTATTGTATCTCCAGATGACATCTACAGATTGAGATGTGGTAGGTAATCGAGTTGGTGTGGTGAACAGGGTGCTGCGTGAGTTGTCAGTAGGGCTGGGCGATATGGCAAAAATAGAATATCACGATTTTTCCAATATTTTACCACGGTTTCGATTTTATCACGATTTTTTATCCATGAACAGCATAACTTCAATTGCGTATTAAAGAAGAGAAACATTGAATAAACAAACATTTATTCATATTAGGGATAATCAACACAGTGCTAACACACTTATATTTTAAACTCACACCAGAGATGATAAAAGCCCTGAGAGAAACAATTACAAAAATCAGTTTTTCTCGTTTTTCAAGTAACTTAACATAAATTAAAATCATAAACATATTTAAAGTGCAAACATGTCAATTGCAAACGTATTGTGCAAACATTAACTTGTTCAAAATACTATGTAGCTCCCAGTTGCTCATGTAGTGGATAGTTAAGCTCAAATACGGCTCTGATGTGCGGCTGGACCAGAGATCGCTTGTGGTAGCAAAAAACTGCGCATTCTGAATATTTTCTGCAACTTTCACTTTGCATTCAGCGAACATGCGTGGAATGGCGGTGTTCGAAAAATACTTGCGGCTGGAAAACTCGTAGCGCGGATCCAATGTTTTTATCATGTTCTTAAATCCCACTCCTACTGTTCGCACGGGACACAAATATTTAACCAAGTGGTACGTCACTGCATCTGTCACGCTGTTCCAGCGTCTGCTGTCTCTGCCGTAAGGAGTGAGTTTTGTGTGTTTCTGTTAGCGTTTGCTGCCAGAAAGAAGCACTAGCCGCTGCAGCTGCAGGCTTTTTAGCTTTAGCTGCCAGCTGGCTCTCATTGTATTGTTTGGGATGCCTTCTTTTCAAGTGATTAAACAAGTTTGTGGTGTTGCCATCACTTGCCTTGACGCTCTCCTTGCAAATGACGTTTCGCTGCTCTTTGTCATCTGGTGAAAAACCAAACCAGTTCCATATAACGGACGAGGCGTTCCTCTTCGGAATGAAAACCTCGTTGTCGCTCTCAGCCGCGGCCGAAGCCATGTGTGTTCACACACAGGTGAAAACAAGCGGGGCACTAATATATTACTATGACTCACTCTGATTGGTTAAGGGTCAAACAAAGGCATGTATTAGGGATGGGTACCTTTGACATTTGAATCGATCCGGTACTACCCGGTACCTACGAATCGATACCGGTACTTAACGGTACCAATTTTCGATACTTTTGAGTGTTTATTATTGTAGCGGAATAGAAAATAGCATATTCATAACGCTACATTATTTTAATTCTCTTTTATAATTAAATATATATTTTTCTCAATATATAACAATATTTGATAAATATCACGATAAATAACATACAACTGTTTGTATTTTAACATCGTCCTTGTAGTTTTATAAGCTGATAATTAAACTGAAGCAAACATCTTTACTGTGAACTAAATTTACTGTGTATCTTCATTCCTTTTGTCGTCTTTTTTCATTTGATTTTTCCTATTGGGAAGTTAGAATTTCCGAGGAGAAAGCGAACGCACCATCATATGATAACAACGGTGGCAATGGAAGCTGACATATCAAGCTAACGTTATCTTTAGCAGTTTATTTAACTGCTGGAGCAGATTAAAACGATGATGCCTCACACTGACCCCGGCTTTCCACAGGAGCCGTCAGCAGCACGTTATTGCAGCAGCACGTCATAGCTGCTGATAGGGACCGCTGTGGTCAACAGAACCTTTTCCACTGGAGCCGTCAGCAGTCGTCAGCAGCGCGAGTCGGCCGCGTCTCAGGAGCAGCATGTCGCGGCCTTTACGCGCCGGTTCGATTTTCTACGCGCGACGCCTCTGAAACGGGTCAAGTTCGACATTTTTGGGGAAGGAAAGACAGGAAATCGGACGCGAAAATGGAGAGAAGCTCCCGAGATTTTCAGAATAAAGAACGTACTGCCTTCCGGTTGCTTTACTTTTTAAAAAAGTTACTAACTGTGCGGCCCCGTGAGAAGTTATCACCTAGCTAGCGGTCTCCTTTGTTTTTCAGGTCCGTATTGGCGATTATAAAACGGACAGAACATAAAACACAAACCATGTTGTAGTTTTCTCCTGCTTGTTGTTGTGTTTACTGATGAAGTCACTCGTGTGACTTCGTGCTCGGTCGGTGACAGCTGCTCCCCTGCTGCTTCGCGTCTCGTGTGAAGGGCCAAGCAGCAGCTTACGCCAGCAAGACGTAATGCTGCAGTAACGTGCTGCTGACGGCTCCCGTGGAAACCCGGGGTAAGATCGTTGTCACTGGTTTCATCTTCACCCAATCACCTGTCGCATTTAGTAAAGTGAAGCCAAACTTTAGAGCGCGTTCATGTTCTTCTAGTCGGAAATTCTGAGTTCCGAGGAGAAAGCGAACGCACCATTAGCGAAACGGAGCTAACATATCAAGGTAACGTTATCTTGAACATTTTATTTACCTACCGGAGCAGATTAAGATGAGGATTTCTCACTTAGATCGTTGTCTGTCGCTGGTTTCATCAACCAGTTACCCATCACATTTAGTGAAGTGGACCCAAGCGTTAGCGTGCGTTCTTCTTTCTACCCATGCTGCTCTGTTTACAACTCGCTCGCAGGGACCGACGACATAACGCTCTTGCACATGCGCAGCTGTCTTGGCAAGTTCTTGTTATGAAGGACGGGTACCGAAACGAGGCACCGTTTGAAATGACGTGAATCGGTGCTCGGTCGGTACTATGGAATTCGGTCGGTACCATTCGCCTGAGGTAAGTTCCCTTTTCATTCAGAGGCAGAATTTCAACAGCAGAGCTGTGAATCGTGATAAAAAGGTCTCTCAAAAATGACAGACCGTCAGATGTGTAGATCATAAAACGGTCTAAAATCGTCATATCGCCCAGCCCTAGTTGTCAGCAGATCCCAGTCTCAGGTTTCAACCAGTGTCTTACTCCTAGTCCTCCGCTGATTCTGTTGTGTTATTCACTGCAGGCCTAACCCTTTGTCTGTCGTTGGGGTTGTCATTTTTCCTGTTCCATCACGTCTCCGCACAGATGACCTCTCTAGGGGACTCGGTCCGCGAAGTGCCGGTTGTCCACGAAGCAGGGGACTCGGTCCGCGAAGTGCCGGTTGTCCACGAAGCCCCGGCTGTCCAGATACAGCAACCTTCGCCGGTTGCTCCTGCACCTGTACCTCCTCTGACACCTCCCGTGCCTTCAGCTAGGCCTTCTACCTCGCAAGTGGCGTGATCTCTATTTTCCGTCGTCAGTCCCATGGTCCCGTTTCAGGTTACACAAGTTTGTTTGTTTATGTGTGTGCATTGGTTGTCTTTCCTGTTTATACATGACGTGCAGACTTGGGTGATTTGAGATGGTCATGCTGTGGGTTCCTGAAGTCAGGTAATGAGTAAGTTTAAACAGTAAAAGGGTTTACTCCACATACGGTTGTGTTATTCAAATTTGTTTTATTTTCACTCATCTTAATTCCTTATGGGGTACATTCACATATAGGTTGATTACTAACTTCACTGATTTACATTTTAGTGCTCTTTGTCACTATCTCCTTTTTATATTATTTTACTTACAGTTGATTAAGTTTGATAACTTTTTGATGAACTTTGTTAATTCACCAGTTATGGGCTACAACCATTTTTGCCCTCATTTTGATAACATTTTTGCTCAGTGGCGTGATTTTTCCCTTACAAATATTATAGGGTTTTGTTATTTAATAATAATAATGCATTTAACTTATATAGCGCTTTTCTAGACATCCAAAGACGCTTTTCACACACTCTCACATTCACACACTGCTAGTGATGGTAAGCTACTTGTAGCCACAGCCGCCCTGGGGAGGTCTGACAGAGGCGAGGCTGCCATTTGGCGCCGTCGGCCCCTCTGACCACCACTAACACAGGCAAGTTGGGTGAAGTGTCTTGCCCAAGGACACAACAGCAGAATACCCCTGGCGGGAGCTGGAATCGAGCCCATGACCCTCCGATCATGAGGCAACCCGCTCTACCACCTGAGCTACTGCTGTCTTTTACACCACTTTTTCCAGTACACGTAGTGTATTGCATCCATTTCTTCACTTGGGCTCTGTTCACATAATTGCTACACAGTACATACAGGTACACAAATTGACAGGTTTCTTTTTATTTGCTGATTTGCATCAGACACCATTTGTTTGTGTCTACAGTGAAGTGCCCTGTGTTGTGCTCTCTCTCCTCTGCTGACTTTCGCCGATGTTCCTCGATTCCTGGGGTTGGCCCTATGATTCGTCATCGGACTCTGCTGCTTGCTGCTTGGTGTTCCGGCTCGTTGGGACCTGGACGTCCGTTCATTCCGGCTATGGCTGCTGGGATACTTCGTTCGCTGGGACCTGATCTGTTGCCTGCTCGTCTTCTTCCTACTCTGGATTATGCTAAGTCCAGTTACAAGGATCAAATTACTGTTTGAATTATTCCCTCCACGTGGATATATTAATGATCTGCTGACTGTTGATTAACCGCTTCCAAAGGAAATTATCCGTGACTGTGCTTCGGTGTGGGGTTCGTTCCTCACCACTTTGGCCTCTGCCTGGGAAATTGCACCTTGCTTTCTCGACGGAGTCCTTCTGGCCTCTGGTTTGTTCAACGTCAGGTGGTCTCTGCCTGGACCACCATGCCCATAAAAAAGGGGGATATGTAGCGTCATGAATGTCCTGTTTTTGACCTAAAGGTCATGATCTGCTGCGTCTGCTTGAGCAGAGACATAGAGTCTCTGACACAGGCTAATCTACATGAGACAGTGGCCAAGGTCTTTCATGCACTCTGCTCATCTGAACTGCTTCACCTCTGTTACAGCTCAAGACAAAGACGAAGAACTCTCTTTTGATAAATACATAATCAAACAACTTTGTTATTAACAATAATAATGTGAGCCCAATGTTCAATCAATCTGTGAAATGACAATGTTATTATTTGATATTATAATCCTGTGATCAGTAGTATTTTACAAGTAATATAATCCTGGACATTTGCACTAGACACTGAGGACATGTAATGCTAGTGTCATGGGGGTGGGTATTCACTCATGTGCACAATATTTCATCTCAAATAAAATGTCCAAAAGTGTGTTTTCTTGATTTAAGCTTACACCATTGGTGAGTAGGAAATACAAACACACATTTGTACACAAGCCCTCAATCACATATTGGATTACTTTTGTAAATTTTCTTACCTCATGGGTTTTATGGCCTGCATAGTTTGTATCTTCTGTGTAAATTTTTGCATCTTCTGCCTGTAGGAAAAATATATCGTCATGAATTTAATTTCCACCTTGATCTCTGACCCATTCAAAGGGCGATGGTGGCAGACGAGTAAAGCGCCTGCCCTGTAACCAGAGGGTTGCAGGTTCGCTTCTTGCAGTCATCGTGTCCTTGGGCAAGACACCTCACCCTTACTGATGGTGGTTGGAGGGTGGTGCCTGTGTACTAACCCTAACCCATGAAGCTCATCGTCGCCAGCTCGGCGTTGCAGCAAATTGGCTGCATTGTTTTCTAAAAGAAGCTACTGAGACTTCATCCACGATTTCAGGAGCACGCCTGTCAAGTCTCCTATTTTTTGGCTGAAAACTGTTTTAAAAACAAAAAATCAGATATGATGCACTTTAAAGTTTACAGCATTTATTTTTCACACCTGCCAAAACCTTTTGCATGTTACTGTTAATACAGGCCATTTAGCTACTATCTTTTTCTGACTCAAACCCTTTATTTTGTCTGGTTACCTGGTTATAGTTGTACAGTCTTGATTAAGCTGTGCTATATAAACATATCTCCTCTAAGTCTCACGCTTGCTGATTTAGCATTCCAGAGGTATGTTTATTGCTTATGACTTGATTATGACTATTTGAGACTATGGTGCTGATCTAAGTCCACCTCAGGAAGGCAGTTAAATCATGATGGATGACAAAAAATAAATCACTGCAGCAATTACACATCCAGTGCTGTTAAAGTTGAAGCCAAAGTCCCATTTGTCATCTTCTTTTGCTGGTGAACTTGCATCTCCATATTTGACCCATCGCGGGGAGCGGGGAGCTACAGAGATGGGTGCGCCCGAGAACTATTTGGTGGTTTAACCCCCCAATTTAACCCCTTAAAGCTGAGTGTCAAGCGGTGAGGCACTGGGTCCCATTTTCTTTGGTATGACCAGACCAGGACTTGAACCCCGATCTCCCAGTCCCCAGGGCGGACACTCTACCACTAGGCCTTTCTGCCTTTATTCTGATTGGTTATTTTTGAGCTGGCTACTCCTGCCCCTCATGGGCCTCTCTGCATGTGAGTAACCAGACTAGTTCTCTGTGCAGAATTATACAGAGGACGAGTCTGACAGGCCAGGCTAGCATTCTGCACTATCTGCAAATGATTCAGGGCCAAAGCTGGAGTCCCGACTAATAGTGAGTTTGCATAGTCGAGGCGAGAGGTGATAAAGGCACTTATCAATCGTGTGACACGGCCAAGATGGTGGTGGTGGGAACTGCCCACTTGGCTTCATAAATATCTTTTAGAAAGCAATATTGGTGGGGTTTCAGTGTTTCCCCTAGGATTTTTGACAGCTGTGGTGGTTGGGGGGGGGGGGGGGGGGTGCTTGGGGAGAAATTATGACACGTCTCTAAATAAAGTAAAATTTTCTAGTGCAGAGAGGAGACAACCCATAGAAGCACTGATTTGATCTCATTTCAGAGAAAAATAGAACAGGTTAGATGCACCTAATAAAGTTACTAACAAACTCAGGAATCTGTTTCTTTGCTTCACTGTTCTGGTGCTGAGAATATCACTAATGCGGATCAAAGGAGATGCATATGAATGCACCTCTTATTTATTATTTGGAAACTACATTTACTGCAGCTGGCAGAGGCAGAGATTTGATACACGGAATTTACAGAATCATTATAAATTTTTATAGGGGAAGACTGCAGGAGGGAGAGGTAAAATACAGGGGGTCCCCAGCAAAAACAAGAAACTTTACGAGTCTGATGAATCCCGCTGGTTTTCCATCAGGCAGTCACGGGGCAGCTCCAACGACCCAATGGCTGTGCTGGGTCAATGTTATCGAGCTCAGTCCGGTGTCGGTACAAGATCTGCTCGGGTGCAAGATCAGCTCGGGGTCCGTCGACTGCCGATGACGTCAAAGTAGTTGATTGGCTGAACATGAACCTTACGGAATTAGGTAATCACGTTATGTTGGTCCAGGCAAATCTTTCTGTTGGAAAGATGGACAACTTTTACAAAGAAATCCATCATTACCTCTTTGAAAATACACTTTTAGCATAGAGCTGCATGTATATTAGGGCTGAACGATTAACTGCATGTGCAATTAAATTGCGATGTGACAAAAGGAGATTTTTTAATCGCAAAGGCTGCAATTTGGCAGCGAGTGGTTAGCGCAATGCTAATATACGTGGAAAAACCCATAGAACTGCTAATGCTAATATCACCGATTACATTATTACAAATTATGAATTAGAAACATGCCAAATGATTACATTTGGAGTCTAATAGAAAGTAAAACTACCATCAATCAAATAAGTACAGACAGGTATTTTAGTAAAGCCAGAAAACTTTTAACTCCAGAGTTTTGACTAGCAGCTATGAGCGTAACTGAACTACGCATGGACAAGACGTCAAAAACTCTAAACACAAAATACTTCAATAAACGGGACACACTTCTTTCCTGCAAATACAATTTCACAGGTGTTGCTAATACCTATGATCCTTCAAGGGATGTGCTCAAAGAGGAGTTCAACATTATGAATAAAATATAGTGTTTTATTTTACAAATACCATTATAAACATAAACTTAAGTCTTAAGAAAAATTATTTTAATAACGAAACTGCTAAATTCTTTCCAACAGTATAGATGTGTAGTGTATTTTGTCCGAGTGGGCTTGCCGTACTTTGACGTCATTGGCAGTCGAAGGACCCTGAGCCGATCTTGCACCCGAGCAGATCTTGTACCGACACCGGCTTGGCAGAGGGTGAACGAGCCGAGGCAACGTTGTGCTCTGCTTAGAAGAAGTGTTATTTTCCCGCTTCAGATGAAGTGTCCAACGTGTTTTTATGCTTTCTCAGAGACATGTCACGTCGCTAAGTTGTTAGCGTCGCACGCTAACACGTCAAAAGTGCAGCGTAGCCTGCTGGAGGTTTTAAGGGTTCAGATGAAAACAACCGACCTCTCAGGCTGCTCACACATCGATCTTAAGTTGTCGCTGTTGCTCTCACGCCGTAATACAGTATTAGATGAGGTTAAAGTCAGACATGAAAAAATAAATTTTACATGAATAAGTGATGCTTAGCCTGGTGGGGGGAGGAAAACTTGGCCTACTAAGCACTGGAGGAAACCCTGTCAAGATCGTCAACACTCATTTATCTTAATGCTATTGAAACATGTAAACCAAAAAGCATTATATCCACTGCTACCTTTCTAATTTTAAACTCAGCAACTTATGCTGTAACTTCGCCCTGCCCTGCCTGCTCCTCCTTGCTGCCTGTCGGCTGTGATCACAAGCGACAACATAGTAGTTCCCGCTGCTTCTTCGGGAAACAGCACAAAAAAAAAAAATAAGTAAAACTTGGGATCTTGTAGGCGTGGCGGTGGGATTTCAGCCGTGGCGGGCCGCCACGGCTACGCCTATGTAAGGGAAACCCTGGGTTTGTCCATCTTTTTTTATCTGTGGTAAACCAATCTGCAGAGCAAATCATATTGCTACTGTAATGGTCGGTCTAGATTTCTATGTTAGAGGATACAGCAACAAATGTAAACTTAGCAGAGGTGTGGACTCGTGCCACACGACTTGGACTGAAGTCAGACTTGAGTCATTATTTTAATGACTTCTGACTTGATAACATCTATAAATACTTACGACTTGATTCGGACTTGAAAGCCAATGACTTGCGACTTGAATTGACGTGCATCTGTTGACTTGATTATAACTCATGCATATTTGATATTTTAGCACAAAAGTGGCACGACATGGACAAAAATCATAAATCATTCTGGGTTTGGTTTGATCTTGTTCTGCTAAATGCAGCAGCACTTTGTTTATAATCAGTTTCAGTTGCACTTTCTGCTTGTTTGAGCAAGTAAATGAAGCTTTAAGAAGCTTTATTTCTGGAATTTATTTATTATCATTGTCATTAAATTGAAGTTTGACAGATGACTTGAACATGACTTGAAAATTCAAAGTTAAGGACTTGGACTTCCACATCATTGACTTTGGACTCAACTTGGACTTGTCTTTGACTTGGACATAACTCGAGACTTGACAGGAAAGACTTGTGACTTACGTGTGACTTGCAAAGCAGTGACTTGGTCACACCTCTGAAACTTAGTTAAAACAAGTTCTGAGTTCAACTAATTTTAAAATGTGTGAACTGAATTTTGAACTAGTTCATGTTTAAAATGAACTTTCCCAACACTGTACACAAACCTTACATTCAACTTTTAAACAAGTTTACACATGATCAACACTGAACATCGTTTATGAGACTTTAGCTGTTAACTTACAGAAGTAGTGTCCATGGCCTCATCGTCTTCTTGAAGACTCGCTGCCATTTTCTCCCTCTAGACAAAAACACAAACATTGTGTGACAGTAAAGTCAAATGTAGTAATTTATAAGTCATTTATATAAAGCCACGCTCAGAAATAATTATAAAGGCTAACAGCATTACACTTTCGGTTTTGTCAGCTAACAGCTTTTCACCTCTAGAAAAAGGTCGAAAAAAGTTGCAGCACGAGGTTGTCAAAATTACTACAATAGTGATATAAATACAGTTCAAAAATACAAATGTAAAGCCAGCGCGACGCTTTTC